GTGCCGTTCAGTCTTTTGCTTTTCCCTTTTCTCCTTATTTAAATGGAATGTTTAAATAACCCATACATTGCTAAACATGAATAAATTTGAATTTGAATTTGAATTGAATATGGAAACCGGATGGTCCCTGTATTCAACCTATGGGAATAAAAGAATTCAGTAGTCAGCGTGTCATGACATTTTTTTCTCTCCAGATTTCCAATTCCTTTGAATTTTAGTTGTGACATTTTTAGATAATTTTGATTATGTGATTGCTAATTATTTTAATTAATCCATTAAATGTATTGGTGATGTACAGTAGTTCAGTTGGGAGTCGGTTTAAACATGTACAATGTAGTATTTTCATATCATGTTTCATATTTTAATAATTTACATTGAAAAAACGATATGTAGTATGCAGCTGTATGCTTCTGGAGTATTAGATGTGCTGCTTCTGGGTATTTAATGCAAGGATGAACAAGATACCGGTACATGTACATGTACATGTAAAGTCAGTATTAGGGAGGAGAAGAAGAGAACTGATTGAGAATGCAGTCATGTCTACATTAAGTGATACACTAGCAGGACCCGTGGAAAATCCACGGGATTCTAGGGGAGGGGGCCAAATAGATAGATAGATAGAGGCCTATTGTGCTAACCAAAAAAAATTAAGATTATCTTTATATAGAGAATTTTTATAATATATGCTGTTTGACCATGAATGGTGCATCGTAAAACAAACTATGTCAGATAGAATCTCGATAATTACTATTTATTTGCATTATTATTGTTGTGATTTCAATGTAGTTTCATGAAAAGACTACATATGCAGAGGCTTGGATTATGATTATGTTGGCATTGTTCACAAAATGTGTATAATTATTTTCAAAGTAAAGATTTTACGCGAAAAATCGGACGGTTCGTGCACAAATTGACTCGACTGTGTGTGGGACTGTGAGCGTAGAATCCAGTGAAAGATTTTTTTTTTCGGGGACTCGATCTATATCAAATTTGGGGAAAATTTTTAGGGGCTACTTTTTTTATCTTTCGGGGGCTCATTTTTCTTGGGCTAATTTATCATTAATTCATTTAAAGATGCAGTTTGTTAAGTTTAGTAGCGTAGTGTTACGTAAAAAAAGGCGTACTTTCTGCGTCAAGTTTCTACGCTGAAAGTACGTGAATTGTGTTAAACATATTAAATTGTTAGCGTCTATCTTGCGTACTTTTTTGCGTCCCTCAGGGTATAGTAACGTAGGCCAGCGTACTCTCAGCTCAGCGTAGTTGGTACGCAACTCTACTATGGACCCCACGCCAATTAGTGATCGACCTGCCAGTGTCACAAATAAGGCATTAAAAATATGCTCATCTGACCGTAATTAAATGCCTAAAACCCCTGAGCTTTCGGGGGTTCAGCCCTTTGTACCCGTGGACACCACGCCTGCACTCAAATCGCTTTGAGTTCCCTGACCCCCCCCCCATACTTTAAAAATTGATTTGATGCAAGAACTGTATCATACTAAAAGTATTATCATGTTTTTAAATGACCATGACGACCGTCTGATTTTCTTGTGAAAAATGATTATCGAAATTCAGTATACAACTATACATGGCCAGAATAATCACAATCCAAGCCCAGGTTTCATACATCTATTCACGAAACTATATTGAAATCGGGGCAATAATAGCAATTTCAAAGTGTTGTTTAGACTCTCCTCACACCCACGGACAGACCTGGCTACGTACTCCGGTCACCGCTACTCCATGCTCACACACTCAGCTCCGACAGCACCGCCGACAGCGGCGCTCAGCTGCCGTGGCAATACACTGTGGACTCAAGGCAGTTTGCAACTGAACTGTCACGTGAAGGCGTACTATCACAGATCTATTTGCGCTATTCTTGTAGTGATTTCGATGTAGTTTTCATGAAAAGACCAATAAAACAGAAGCTTGGACTATGATTATGTTGGCATAGATCACAGAATTTGTATAATTATTTTCAGAGTAAAGATTTTACGTGAAAATAGGTCCATGGTTTGCGCCAGTTGTCGCAATCGCCTCGACTCGAATCGACTGTGGTGTGTGCATGTGTGTGACCTGAGAGCGTGTAATACACGTACTACAAAGCATATCCTATAGAAAGACGCATAACACGGGTAAGCCCAACCCGTGAGAGCGTGCATTTCTTACACCCCCTCACCCGCGTGAGTCATCTGTTAATGTGTATTTCTCTTACACGCTACAAAGCGTATCCTATAGCAAGAGGCCTTACTCAAGATACGCCGCAGCCTTTACAATGAGACTTGCTACACCCGTTGACGCGAGTGGATTCTCGTCCATCGTGTGTCTCTTCGTCTCTCTTTGATAGTTAGACAGAGGGCGGGTGCACGCCTTGTCAACTCGCTCTCGCGGGTTCGTCGCCTCCTCGCAATCCACGACGCCCGCCGTGCTCTCGTCCGCCCGTCCTCCCCGGCACCCCGAAACCGCGTTTAACGGCATGGACGTCGATCGCGGGGTCGAGGTGGCACGCGGGTTACGGGAGACAGGCCTCGTGGAATTGTGCCACCGTTCCCGCGCCACGGCGGAGGCGAGCGGGGTCGGGGAAAGGCGTTTTTGAGGAACCGTTTTGCCCCGTTTTGGACCCCCCGCGGCGATTTTGCGTATTAATAATATAGATGCTCCCTGCACAAGGGGCCCGCTAATCCAATTTCTCAGGCTACAAATTCAATCCCATTACTTATTGAGTTATATGGGGGTGCAGTCAGTGTATATGTACAGTGGGCAGTAGGCACGTGTTTAAACATTCAGTGCACGTACATGTATGTTTACTACTATATACACGTAGCTTCGGATCTATAGATGTATTCAGTCGAAAATGACAAGGGTTTTGTCTGGGGAGTTCCCCTATTTTTGTACAGTTGCATACATGTACAAAAGTAGATTTATAAAAGTTAACATAGAAGGTGTTCTTATTTCCATCACAAAGGAAATGCAGAGGTTTGGCAAAGTTTCTCTGTCTTGATACAAACTACATTGTACTTGTGTAAATCATGCTATGTGCTTAGTCACGCTACGTTTCCTCTTTCAACACTTTGTAAGGATTTTTCTGTTTGCCTTTATCAGCGGTATCAAAGTGCATATAAAAGAAAAAATTTTGTCGGGGCAAAAACAGTGTTTTCCCAAATTTTATTTTACATTGCAGAGTCAAGCAAAGCCGATCAGCGCTTTTTCATAGTAACTCTTTATAGGTGTCCAGATTGAGAATTGTAGCCAATTGAGTGTATGAATTGGCCACTGTTCCAATATTTATTGGGGGCGGGGGGGGGGGGGGGGGGGGGGTGAATGAATTGATGTTTGGGGATCTCTGATGCTTTACCATGTAGATTGACTACTGGCAGGCACATCAGAAAGTAACCTTAAAGGGATCCTGTAACTTTGTCTCAGATTCTGAAACAAAATTCTGGATTTAGCTCATGATACAATGATAATTATAAACCTTTAGGTCAGTCAGGAACCCCATGACTTTTACAAGCCGATCGCCTGTCTGATTATCAAGATATTTATGATTGGAATTAAAAAATTTGAAAACCGTTCTCCAGACGGTTTTCATAACACTACAGTCTATTGGGGTAAACGAGTATGGTAAAACCGGTCACTCAAAAGATTTTTACTTTTTTGAGGCACTTCTTGATCATTTTGAAGCGCAATTTTTTTAGGGCTTCAATATTACACCATATCACAGACACTGATAACACGTAGGGCCGTGTATCTCAGATTTAACATTGTTAAACAATCCCTTTAAGGCATGGTTGAAAATGAAGGAAAAAAATGTCTTTCAGTAGCTCTGAGGGTTACATTCCTCAGCCTCATGGGGGGGGGGGGGGGGGGGGGTTCTAGAGTAACATTTTCCGGACCCTTTACATGCATATATACTGAACCTCTATTAATGTTAAGCCAACAACAAAATTCATAGGAAATGAATAGGTTACAGCATTTCAGTCGCACCGGGGGTTATATTTTCACCACCTCCATATATATATTTCAAGCACCTCACAGCAGGTATTAAATAAAGTACATGTAAAGCATATTATGAATAGATCATACTCTGAATAGGATGTTACCGAAATGTATACGCCTTGCCGTGCCTTGCACGTTGGCCCGGCCCGGCGCGAGAAAAAGTGCACTTTCATTCAGTGCTTGGGAATAACAGGAAATAGAGAGGAGACAGAACAAGGAAGTCAGAATGCAATTGTCGAGCATTAATTAAATCCAAGCTGGTCCGTTTTTATAGGGTTGGATATATACGGAGAGGCTGCTGTACAAACTATGGCAGAACGCCAGAAAAGTGTGCAAATTTGAGGTTTGTGATTGACTGCTGGCTGTGCCATTTTAGGAGAGAGAGACAGAGAGATAGACAGGGAAAAGAGGATAAGGGATTGGACACTGAAAGATAGTAAGTGAAATTTGATTGAAAGATGAATTGGTATTTATTTGCCCAAGGGAAATTGGAAAGCATTGGAGATGGAAGAAATGAATGAAGAGGCTCGATGGCTCAGTGGTAGAGCAGCGGTCTCGCAACGGGAGGTCCCGGGTTTGAAGCCAAGTCAATGTGCTCGTTCCTTTTGGCAAGGCTTCAATACTCATTACCAAGTCCCTCAAAGAGGACTTAAAGCCATCAGTCCCCTGGTCGCTTTAATGCTTACAAGCACATTCATACTTTCTTATTGGTCAGGTATAAAAGCAATCCTCGAACATCATCACGAACATCATCACGAAAGAGAGGTAAAGAGAGACAAACAAAGAAAGCATGGTGTATAATTAAGCCTACATAACCAGTGTGTTTATGTTGCACATAAAAAGCTTCCAGCACTTGTTGTCAAATTCCTTCGGATCAAAGTTGAAAGTATATCATGTACATGTGCACTGTCTGCAGCAGCTATTCCAAGATTAATATACATGTGCAATTGCATTATTTATGCATTTGAACTGAACCAATTTTGTTATTCCTTTGTATCTTTACTCAGAATCCATCTTCATTGTCAAGGTCATTCAAGGAAAGTCCAAGCAGACAGGAAAAAGCACTTCGATCGAGTAGTGCCACTTCAGGAATCCTCAGGCAAGCGGTGGAAGAGAGTTCCAGGAGTGCGTCTGAAACTGCACCGTTGGAAACCAGTGTATGGGACTGAGGTGGCTTGAGGATGGCGTCTTAGAGGTGTGTCAGAGAAAATGACCTTAATACCGCAAAGCGTAGTTCTTATCAGCTTCATTATGCCGTCGGAGGACACTGCTGTGCCAAGCACACTTGCTTGTAATGTGACGGTTAGTATGACCAGGGTATTTGTCAAACCCAAGCTTTTCATTCCATGTTGTGCAGTAATGGTAGGGGGGGGGGGGGGGGGGGTCATCCTGATATCTGTTTGGTTTTAGAAGCAGAGTAGTGACGGAAATAGATCAATGAAAGTTTGAGATTCACGTACATGTAAGAGCAGTTTTATGCAGCATCTATTTGTTGTCACTGCACAATGTACATTGTAACTGTACAAGTACAGTACCTTCAATAAAAACTCAGAAGTATTTCTTTCCCATCCCTTTTCAGGTTATTGTTAATCAATTAATAGTTTATAAATATTGGGACTACGTCTGAAACCATGTACCATACAGGGTTGTACAAACTTTAAGATATCCTGGAAATTGTAACGACAGGCATGTAGGAAAAGGAAGTTGAGTTTATTCATGTTACAGTAGTGCACATTCATGATACTTTATTTAGGGCTAAACAGGAAGCAACCAGTTCTGCTCTACTGATCAAAGTAAGTTAAAAGAATTAGGGCAAACATCAGCAGTTAAGTGGTATGTAAACTTGGTTGTGTATTGTCTGCCTGTTTAATGATCATTCATGTACTGTTTGTGCAAGTACACTGTATGCATTACTTGACTGTTTTTGTATCATTGGCCTGAATTTGAGAGACTGACAGAGAGAGAGAGAGAGAGAGAGAGAGAGAGAGAGAGAGAAAGAGAGATAGATAGATAGATAGATAGATAGATAGAGAAGGGGAAGGGGAGGGGTGGTATAATGGGAGTCAGAGAGAGAAAGAAATACCAATTTAGAGAAGACATAAATGATATAAAAGTTTTGAAAGTAGAAGTAGAGGTGATCAAAATTTATAATTTATACACAGAGCTGTCCCTCTATCCTTCCACCGAAGTAGAAATAAAATCCGCTCCCCCCCCCCCCTCCCCAACTCCCACACTCTAAAAATAAACCCAGATTGTAGGTCGTCCGGGGCAGTGGCATGCCACATTTGTTGCTTTCCAGGGGAAACGGTTATTGTCCTTTTTTTCTGCAACAGCAGAGGATGGGTTTAATTTCCTGTTTGTTTGTCCCTGCGGAGAGCCTACTGAATGCTGCCCTCGCTTGCCAACTTTTTTTTCTTTCACCCATGCTTGCTCTCTCTCTTTCTCTCCCCCACTCTCGCTCAATCTCACTACCGTAGTTCTATATTTAAATACGCACACCTATTTCTGGGATGCAGCGAGCAGCGGAATAAGGGGGCATCGGGTTCCTGTCTTAGTTTGTGTGTGCGGTTGCATGTTGACGACTCTCTCTAGTCTCTATCTGCCGGCTGTTCGTTGGTCAATCAGTTCATGAAGCCATTCGGGGGTTGACATCTAGCTGCTGATGTGCGCTTGCTAGCTGGAGGGGTCCGCACTCTGCATTCCACGACATTGTGTACATTCTCTTGAGGATTTTGCCCGACTCTAGGAGTGGAACTTGTCTTGTGGTTGTTCTGTTTTGAGACCGTCGTAATGGAGATCCATAACAAGTTGTGTAGCCTGCAGTTGGGTGAGATTCACAGGGGTTTCCCCCATTTTGTTATGTTTGTTTTGTAATTGTTTTTTTTTATTCACATATTTACTCTACAAGGAAAATGCCAGGGGGAGTGTCAGATCTTTGAATTAGAAAGTAAAACCAATTGACCTTAAAAGGATAGCATAGTTGTCAATAGATTTCAAGTTGATACCAGTGTTTTATAACTCAATTGATATAACCATCACATATTGTTTTCCAGGAATCATATTTAAAATCATCACACTAAGTTTTAGTTCAGGAGAAACCTCTTCTTAGAATTCAATGTGTTTACTTCTTTTCCTCCTCCTCCTCCTCCACCATATTTTCCTTCTCATTCTTCTTCTCTTCCTTCCTCTTCCTCCTCTTCTTTCTCTTTTCTTCTTCCTCTTTTTCTTCTTGTTCTTCTTCTTTTATTTCTTCTTCCTTTCTTCTTATTTTCCCCCTTTTTCTTCATTCACTTCTTCTGCTGTGACTGCTCTCCCTGAGTTAAAGTTAAAGTCTCGAATCATGTTGCAGGGTGCTACAAGAATTTTTTTCACCACTTGCCCTGTCGGGCAAGTGGGTTTTCAATTTACTTGCCCAAACAATATTTCCACTTGCCCAAAACTTTAAAGCGAAAAAGGACTCGAGGTTAAAGCATTTATTATCGCTTTCTTGGCTGGCGGTGCCTCCATGTTTACTAGCACAATCGAGAAAAAACAGCTGATCAACGCACGTGTGTGTCTGTGCAAGCCGCTGTCATTTGGAAACGTAGGCTAATTTTCAGCTGTTAATAATTTGGGTCAACTCTTCCATCAAGAAACGTCATGTAAATAATGGGTAATCAACTATTTTAAATAAAGTACGGACATTTTTATTTCATCATTCACTGCTATAAATATCATGCCAAAATTTGTAAATTCTTACTAAATAATAATATTGAAGATATTTTACGATAAATCTCGGATAAGTATGCGAAAACTAGACTAAACAACGTCGCTAAAACCATGAAAACAAAACAACAACGGCTTATATTCTGGGGGTCTCGATACTATTATCAAAATGACTCGCTCGGTCGGATCTTGAGACCGCAGTAATAAATTGAAAACGAGACAAAAACATTCATCTGATTTATATGAGCAGCGAGTTTTAAATAATATGTTCACAATCATTAACAGTCATTATGAATAAATATCAAACATTTGACTTTTTGTACTTACTAGAAAATCCCTGTTGTTTATTCCATTCCGATTCGCACGTGTTCATTTCCCTAGAATAATGACGTCATATTTGGCGTGATTCAACCAATCGGCAATCAGAGAATAGCAAAGGCCTGTCGGTGCGGCCTGCAGAGCTAGAGAGAGAGAGCGCGAATAAGCTCGCAGCTGGTACGATCGCGCTAGCTGTCTCTAGCTAGCTCACGGCCGGCCGTGCGTGGAGGCGGAGCGGCATTCATGGCTTGAAGTGTCACTGTTGCATGCGCGCTGAGCTAGCTGAGCTGGCTAGCTGTCTGTGAAGTTTTTTCGAAATCGGAACGATCGCTTTTTTGCTTCTGGATTTTGACGACGGGTAAGAAGTTGACGGGTGAATGGTAGAGTTCTTGGACACTAGGAAATTACTGTAAAAGTATCACGACGGCTCAATTTGGTTGCCCCGGGACGTCGGGCAAGCGGGTTTGTCGCGCCCTGTGTTGGCTATAATTTTCAGTTGAAACAGTTGAAAATGAGCAAAATTTAGAGAAATTGATCTGTGAAAAGAAATTCTGGTGAAGGATATGAGAGAAAAGTAGAGACTTAATTGAACAGAACTGAACTTGATTAAATACAAATTGGCTCTCTGTCATTTACATGTAAGCATCACCGCTGTATGCTCTGTACATAAAAAAATGAATTTTCTATTTTCTCCATTGGTCTTTTAATCAGTCACAACATTAAAGTTCTACAACTTCCTTAACCTTTTCAGATATATCCTCAATGTTCTAACTACCTGTTCTCTGCTTTTATTAAAAACCAACTCGTGGATGTTGCGGTTGACGTCTCCTTTAAAACAGTGTTGATTCCTTGATTAACAATGTAAAGTGACATCGTCATGTAAACATTCCAACACTTGGCAGGCTGTTCATGATGTGGCACATGTTCTTGTATGTCGCTCACGCAGGAGGAAGGAAGTATCATTTGCTATCTGAACACAGCACTTGTTTTGAATTTTCCTCTTTGCCCCCCTCTCTCTCTCTCAAGTCAAGAAAGTGAACATTAGTGTATTACACAAAATGGCTTGGATAGGCACAGTGTAGCACATTGGAGTGCAGTTCAGTCCTGCCAAAAGTAACATTATAGGGCAGATTTACAAATACATGTACATGACAACCTTGCAAGCTGTAGGAAACCAAAATAAATATTGAGTTAAAGGTTATCGTCAATTTTGGGTTCGCAACATGGATTTTGAATTTGCTTTTCACTGTACACTTCTCATATTTTGATCTATTATACATGTACATTGTAGATAAAGGTTCTTTACTCTTTTGCTTTTCTACATAAACATGTGTACAGTATGAATGTCAACATTTACATATATAGTGTCAATCAAAATACTAGTAGGCCTATGTGTACATGTTGCGTTTGTTTTATTATCTTGGGCTCATATCTTTCCATGTATAATATAAATGAAGTATGAACATGATTGTATATACATGTACATGTATGGTACAGAGGAAAACAAAATAGACCAAAGTAACCAAGCAAAGGGAAGGACTGAAAGTTTTTAGCAGTTGTACTTGTAGTAGACGTGTCAAGTGAGGAGAGCTAATTATATCAGAAACTTCCTGAAAGCAGGCAGTGAACAATGCATGTAGTTAGTAGCATGAATGGGGACAGTTCACTTCCGGCACTCGAGTGTAACTATTAGCCAAAAACTAGGCATGTTCATTTGTGTGTAATTACATGTACGTATACATGTAAACACAATAGTATGACATTTTTTCATTTTCAATGCTTGGATTCATGTGCCAACAATTACAGAATAAGTACTTGTTCACATACTCTATGGCTTAGGAAACCTCCACAGGTTTTGTATTTTGTTATTTTATATTTATTTAATTTGTAACTCATAGAATGGCAAGTGGAGATGAAAAAGAATTTCAACGTAGCTGAGGTCTGACACTATTCCCTTATATGTGTGTTATAAGATTTTTAAATGTGAAGAATGCTTATAAAAATAAACCTGTGGTAAAACATTGCGGTATAGCACAGCATACATGTACCGGTATGTGAATGTGGGTTAAGCATCACATGTGCTGAGCTTCTCCCCCCCCCCCCCTATGGTTAAACATATATTATAGAATATAGACTGTGTTCTGTGTTTCAGATGTATCCCTGAATAATGTTGTGGTTTTGGGGGCCCCTGAACATAACTAAATCTGGCTATGCAAACTGGATTGGTGACAAACCACATTATTCCAGGGGAAATTATGGAAAATTTGCTGCTTTTGTTAATACATTGTGTGTATTGAATTCTCGCTACCCCAAATAGCGATTCTGCCGAGATCCGGGGAAAATCCTGAAAACGCGCATTGCATTATGGGATAGCTTTTCGACATTACAGCTTCCTGTGCAGGCGTTCGTGATCACAACCCTCTCTTTCACGATAGAGTTTAACGGCCTTTTGTGCTAAAGTCACTAATTCTGCCCGAAGCTTTCCATTGCATATTATAATCTGTACAAATTACACTGATTGGCATCGATTTTAGCGTGCGTGAAAACTCTGCACAGCGAACACAGGCGCTAGCGCCAGCGGGATGGGACTCTATACCGGAAGTTGTAGTGACGACCCGAGAGAGTGAAAATTACCTCGTCTCGCGAATTTCGAGATTTTCGTACCTATTTAGGGTAGCGAGAATTGGATGACTAATTCATGTGAATTGAAAATGTCACCCTGCTACAGTACATGGAACAATCAATTACTGATACCTCAAAAATGGAAGGGGAAAAGGAGCCAGTCAAATGCATGTCTGGTTCTATAAATGTCATTGGCATTAAATTATTTACATATAAAAAAAGTAAATGAAATATTTAAATGAAAAAAGAACTGAAACAACATTTAGTTAATGTATACAGTCCCTGTTTTGGCAAAAAATGTGGGAAAATTAAGAAATTTTAATGATGCAATTTCATCATATATGGCATAAGACTTGTCAAAGTTGCTGGTTTTAAAGTCTTATGACCTACAAATGTACATGTATTACCAGTATATCATAGACTACCTAATGAAATTTGTCAAAGAAGGGGAACAGAAGAAAGAAAACTGTCTAAAGAGGGTCAAGCCATTTTGTCCGTGACCTCTGGGGAAGAACCGGACATTAGAGGATGTCTCCTCCAATGATCTATTAAAGTAGTTTCAATTAAGGCAATTGGAATTGACATCCGTTGCGTGGGGAGTTTGATGGCTTTATACATGTATGGAGAAGCTGACATTTGGTACATGTTGTTCAGATGTTAGTCCACTGTGGTTCAGATGTTTGTCCATTGCCTGTGGGGTGTTTCACAAAGATCCTACTCCTACAAGTAAGTTGAACTTGTCTCTAAGTTGGACTTAAAAATTATGGAAAGCCGTTAGCATCTTTGAAAATATTTTGTTAAAGTTATTTTGAAAGGCATAAAATGTTGATGCAAATCATTCATATTTTCTATCATCAAGGAGATTTCATGTTTTTGATGTGGAATTTATAAACAGTCTAAAATACTTGAATTTCTGCTTTTAAATATATTTCATTTTAAGGCTACAATTGGCTCTCCATAATTTTAATGTCCAATTTAGTGTTAAGTTCTACTTGGGATCTTTGTAAAACACCCCCCAGGACTGTTTCCGTGTCGCGCACCCAATCAGCGAAGAAAATAACACGCCCTCAATGCTAAAATGGAGACGGTCCTTTCATTCTTACACTTGCAAGGGTGTATTTGGGGGATCGCATGATTAGTGGACACTTTGCACTCTGCATGGGATGTAAGAGAACTGAAGGTAAAAATAATTGGGGAAAAAGTAGTTAAAAATGAACAGAATCTGGATTAGTCGGTTGTCCACTCCATGGTTGAAGTTACAATGTAACAGTTTATGGAAGAACAGAATTTGATGAAGGTTTGTTGTGAATCTATCAGCACTGATTCCTGAAATTCTCACCAGTTATAAATTTATGTTCTATGTTCCTTTCATTTCAAACTTTAGATGAATAGTTCTCTTTAATAACAATTAACAAAATTGCCAATTTGTTTGCAAAGAGAGAATGAAATATGCTTATCCTGCTACTATGCATTGCCAATTTAAGGCATTAATTATTATTTATTTTCATTTTCAACATTCTTATTCATCATTCAATGGAAACTGCATGGAAGTTTAACATTGTACATTATATGTATGTTGAGAAATAAAAATGAAAGAAAAACAAATAATCTAATCATGGACCAAGTACATGTTTATTTTGTTCAAGATGGAATAATTATCTAGTATGCACTTGTATGTAAGGAGTTTGTTGATTGACTGGCGACCAGGAAGCATTGTGAAGTATGTTCTACCAGGTGTCATGTAACAAACAAACAGTCCCTATTTATTCATGACTTCCTCAATTAGAAATGACTACAAGTCCAGTAGGCTTATTGAGTTGGCACAGAGAAAGACAAATGTTACTGATTAGGGAGAAAATGAGATATTTCCAACGAGTGATTGTGTGGATTAAGTCGCATTTCTTTTTACTAGGACCTTAATTGATGTACATGTATGTACCCATATCTTGCTGTTTGTATTTAAATTTGTACATTTATATCTACATGTACGTAATGATTGTGGAGTTGTAATAATTGTGTAATTGTTGCCTCTGTTGCAGGTCCGTGCATCATGGAACGCACCTCCATCTTAAACTCTACCAACCATCACCACCACCACAACAACCACCACCAGCAGCAACATCAAGTGTCACCAACCCCTAAAATCAACCACCACTACCACCAGCAACTCGTACAACCCGGCCGCATCATGCCAGTGGACCCGCTCTCACGCCGCTTCTACCACGGCCGGATCACGAGGGAAGAGGCCGAGGCACGGCTACGGAATGCCGGCTGCCACCAGGGTATGTTCCTACTGCGAGAGTCCCTAGGTCGGGAGGGCAATTACGCCCTCTCCTTGTGCTACGAGGACGACGTCTACCACTACGCCATCGAGCGGCAGTACGATGGCACAGTGGCCATCAAGGATGGCAAGAACTTTGCAGGCCCTATCGAACTTGTGTCGAATCATATGAACCGAGAGGACGGGCTGTTGTGCAGACTTCTAAGACCATGCAACCTTCAGCAGGGTATCGCCGCAAGGGCCTTCAGCGACATGGATCATCAGCAGATGGAAGGAGCTCTGATAGATCTCGCCAAGAGCCAAGGAATGGCTGTAAGTATGGCTTCTGGCCTTAAAATCTGATCAAATCTTTTGGTGTGAGCCAGAAATGGGTTAACTTTGTGTTGATGCAAGTCGATGCATTTCTTGCTCTCAACTTACAAATGGTCGGCATGTGATTTTTTTTTTTACCCCATGCACACGCTTAGTTTATTCGTACACATTTTTCTGCCACAGGGCTCTGGAGTTGTAAAGGACTGTGGGCATCAGTGGTGACGTCTTTAATATATTTATTAGATTTTAATCGGTTATTTTCGAAATGTAATCAAACTTATACACAAATGCCTCTATACAATTATTTCATTCACGTGATACAGATAATTGTATCTCAATCGTCAGAATGCATATGTTGCTAGGTAGGACAAGCCATAATGTTTGTCCTACCTAGCAACAACTAATGTATGCAATTTGAGATACATTTGTTTGTAGCAGGTGAATGAAAATGAAATAATTTGTATCGAGGTGCTTTACCCCAATAAAAATTGTTTACATTACGAAAATGGCCTTTTCTGACAAAGAAAAGGTGGATAAGCCATTATTCATTGTTTCATGTATTGTTTTCCTTTATCTGTGGAAAATAATTAGAGCAAATAAGAATCTGCATCATATAAATTCTGACACATAGAATATTTTCATACTTACAATATTGAAGTTGATTTAAATGGAGAAGGGCAAGTACATAGTTTTATTTACTTTACCACTAAGAATCTAAAGGAATTTTCCAATGCTTTAATGCATTTTTTTGTAAACTATATATTGTGGAATGCTTTTGACTTTTGATCAAGAGCAGAGTCAACATTTTGTGTCAACACCCAAAATGGGTGGGGAGCTTGGCATCTCCATTTGATTGTGAAACCAGGCGATCAGTGTTTTTAAAAAAATCTTGACTAGATTTCCTTTTTAAACAATACAGTGTTACTTTTAATTTACATTTAATATGTACACACTGTAATTCTAAGTCTGCTCGTTTTTTAACACTGAAGAAACAAACAAAACCGAAACATTTAATGCATGAGCAAATTGTACATGTGCCTAAACTAAATTTACTCTGCCTGTACCAATATATGTTAAAAGTAGAAGAGTAAATTTGTGCATTGTACATATATGTGAGTGTAAAGACAAAAAAAAAAAATGTACATACACTGGACATACAGTACATGGATATTTTTTTTCTTTACTGTATTTAAATGTTTAATTGAAGACCAGATATTTAGAAATAAAATTGTATTTGCCAAATCAATAGAGAAGTGTTGGGTTTAGTGAATACGTTGCCAGACTGTGGATCACATGGTTCGCAGTTTAAGTCCTGCCCCGACACTAATGTCCTTTGGCAAGACATTTATCTACATTTGCCACACTCAACCCAGGTGAGGAAAATGGGTACCTGGCAAGAATTGATTCCTTGAAATTCTAGAGTGCCATAATTGGCAGCCATGCTGAAGCCGCGTAATGATTTTGGTGGGTTTTGAGAGTCAAGTTTGACAGACATGAGCGCTATAAGAAACCCGCTATTATTATTATTATTATAAATTGTAAAAGTACAAAGAGAACATAAACAAGTAAAATTATCTGTATCACCGAGGCTCATTTAAACACAATTTGTGATACCTTAACATCAGTTTATTTCCAAAACATGATTTCGTTCTTTCCCACGCTGCATGTTCCGACTGATGCCTGCACATGATTTATTCTGTACCAAGTGGACAGTTAGAAAAGGCGTTAATCACGTCTCACTTATTCTGTAAATAGCTTGGCGCTTTAATCGCTCCATAATCAGGACAATTAGTTCGTTAGGAGCGTTGTGGAACGGCCAGGAAGTGGCTGAGGAGGTCATTAATTTCTATCTAGTCTGTTTTGAGGAAGACGGGCATGTTCTTCCCTGATAACAAAAAGGTGTTGTTATAATTAATGATCTTGCATGGTCAGTGTGGTTTATGCTGCAGATACATGTAGACATTGGATATGTTGTATTGAGTGTTATTAATGGAATGTTTCTGCACAATGAAATAGAAAGTTATGATAAAAAAGGTATGTTGCATACATGTACCTCTCTCCTCTCTGTCTGTCTCTGTCTCTCTCTCTCTCTCTTTCTCTGTCTCTCTCTTTCTCTGTCTCTCTCTTTCTCTCTCTCTCTCTCTCTCTCCCACACTCTGTATTTCTCTCTTTATCTCTCCTTCTATCTTTCTCTCTGTCACTCTCCTACTCTCTAATTCTCTCTCTCTCTCCTTCTCCATCTCTATGTATTTCTCGCTCTATCTCTCTCTCTGTCACTCTCCATCTCTCTGTATTTCTCGCTCTATCTCTCCTTCTGTCACTATGTCTCTCTCTGAGTCAGTACTGATGCATTTTCAAAATACATTACTGGTGTATACATTAAAGCCATATCAAAATGAAAACAAATGGATTGAATCCCTATCTACACACATACACTGTACATTACCTAAACATGCTCTTGTACAGTTTAATAATTGCATGTGTTCCATTAAGGCCACATCACATGGAAACAAACTTTTAACAGTTAAGAAGTTAATTTCATTTTTCATCAGGCATACAAATTGAAAGCCTATTTGCATTATTAATGAAACAATAAATAATAATAGAGAATATAGAGAAGCGCATAATAAATTGAAAATTTCTCTATGCGCTTTACAATCATGACAAATTTGAAAATATAAACAACATAATAAATAACAAAGTAGATACGCAAATGACAAAAAAATATTCTTGGGAAAGTAAACCAATTCACCTATAATTACACCTAAATCTCTTGAACTGTCAGTTTATCGCTGATAAAGAAAAAAGAAAAAGAATCTTTAGATTAGATTTTTTTGGTAATGTTATTATTGATTTTAATTTTTATTAATTATTCAATGTATTTATTTATTATTATTAATACAATTTTTTTTTTTTTTTTTTTTTTTTTTGGGGGGGGGGGGGGGCGAGAGCAAAGGTCTCCCCGAAACTACTAACTAGCCCCCAAAATTGCTATTTTAACAAGGCCTCTTTCAAACCCCCCCCCCCCTCCCTCCCTCTCCTACAAGTAGGTGATCATAACCTGTGCGAATCTAGATGGACATTGAATTTAATTTGTCTCCTTTTTTCTTCCCCCCCCCCCCCCCATTCAGCCTGAGGTGATCACCAAGGCACTCCACTCCACTCAGCGTCCGCAGCTGGAACGAGCCCTGAAGAAGATCATGCATCAAGACAAACCCTGGTTCCATCACAAGCTCTCGAGGGAGGAGGCAGAGCAGAGGATCGTCTCTGCCGGTCTACAGGAAGGAAAATTCTTGTGAGTTTGAACCATTATGTGAACGCATGTTTGTGTACTTTAAAATCAAAAACCTTTATTGAAATGTAGTTGAATAAGAATGATAAAAAAAAACGGTGCTTATTAAACGCTTACCACCGAAGTCTCTAAGCGCTATGTACATGTAGTTTGATAAAACCTGATGAGAATAAAAACAACTGTATTTATGTGGTAAGAAGCTTTCATGAATTACAATTATTTGGCTGTAGCCGTTTGGAGTGTGCTATTTAGTTTGTTCTACCCGACTGCTGAGAAAGCATTTGTATGCTTTTACAGTAAGTTAGCAACCAGGGGACTGATGTCTTTAAACATCTCTCTGAGGAACTTGGTAATGAGGATCAATGCCTTACCAAAGGGCACTATCGCTTCGACTTGGGTTTTGGACCTAGGACCTCCTGGTTAGGAGACCACTCCTCTACCACTGAGCCACCGTGTCTCCTTTAATACTGCATGACTCTTAATGCAGAATTAGTGAAAGTTGTATGCCCGTGAAATTCTTTGGTTTTACAGTTATAATTCGAATCATCAATTATTTCCACACGCAACTGTTTTGTCTTTAGATGATCAATTCACTTATCTATGAGGTAAATTTTGAAGAGTCAAAATGCTCTAGACATTTAAATAGAATTCCCACATAAGTCTACGCATTAGTCATATAGTTGTGAATGTAAGTTTATAAAGACCTCCCTTTCAAAATCTAGTCCATGGGCCTTTTTATTTATTTTGAGGAGAATCAGACATTGTACATGTACATCTGCACTGCACCTCAACAGTCCGACAATACACCTGACGGTGGCCTGTACTGCAACTGAAGAAGAAGAAGAAGAAGAATTAGAAGACTAAGAAGTGGTACATTGTAACTTAATTTTCACCCTTTTCTCTATTAAACCAGAGTTCGAGAAAGGACAGAAGAAGGAAGTTTTGCTCTGTCGCTGTGCTACAATAACTTTGTCTACCATTACAAGATAGACAAGGATTGCACCGGCCAACTTTCTATCAAGGAAGGGCCAAAGTTTGATAGCCTTATTCAGGTAAGCAGCTGGTCTGTGAAGTCATCCTGTTAGGCCTGTCATCATCAGCTCGAGTTTGCCAAATAACCAGCTATTTTAACTGTCCCGGTCGCCAAATTATCCAGCTTATTTGCAACCTCATCAGCCCGCAGTTGCAATTACCGGATATTTAGTCAATACAATATCCCAAGAAATCTTGGCCTTGTTTCCAAAATTTGGGAAATAGCAGGCTAATTTGCGCCCGTCCGAGCTAGTTTGTGATGAGCGTATCGGTCTGGTGAGGACGCAACTTCAAGCTTCGGGATAATATCCCGAGACTGAAAACAGCGGGTTATTAGGCAAATTCGAGCTGATAACGACAGGCCTAACGAAGCTCAAAAGCCCAAGAAAATTTGCATCCAAGCATGTCGGCTACAGTCTGTGTGAAAATGATATGATTTTCAGTGAGCTACTACATGTTAAGAATTCACCAAGTTCTTGTACCTGTATTGATGATGTCTGAGCCTGAGACTAGCCTTGTGCTAGACCCATCGGAAATGTAAAGTCTAAAAGTTTTATAAATGTAATGCTTGGGAGAAATTTCAATTATTTAAACATATTTGTGGCTTACACCAAGTAAATTACAGATCGTTCAATCGATCTTATTTACTGGGTGTAAGCCACAAATATGTTTAAAAGTTTAAAATTGTTTACTTCTCTGAATTACCAGTATGGCATGATAAACACTGATGAAAGATGAGATTCATGCAGGGAAAAAGTGGAAAAAATATGATAAATGGCTAGAATATAATTGCTTTAATTCATCATGATGTAGATTGTCTTCAAGTAGTAGAGCAATTGAAGATAACAAATAATCCTACATCCTCTTACGACGCTGTCTTTGGTTTGAAAGAAAGAAGTTTTAAAGTGGTTACATTTCTACACTTCACAAATTACCTCCATCAAGTATTGTATGATAAACACTTAAATGAAAGATAAGGTTCATGCTGGAAAAAGTTGGAAAAATGTGATAAGTGACTAGAATATAATTGCTTTGATTTATTATAATGTAGAATGTCCTCAAATAGTAGAGCAATTGAAAAAATATATTCTTACATACTCTTAAGACCCTCTCCGCAGTGATATTGAAACAAAAACACCCACAGTGTACATGTACTATTATTTTATAGGCGAGTGGTAAATGGTTGGCCCAATTTAGAGGGTCACCTTGGGAATATTTTAGAAGCCAAATTTGAAAACCTGTACAGGGAGATGAGGAAGGTGATAACCAATCATACTGGGCTGACCTGGGTTTTGCGGAAACTGTACTTCAACTTCAATGTTTATAGCTATTAATCTTATTCACATGAAGGTGCATAGGCCTACATACAGTATATATACTGTAGCTCAGTGGTTGGGATTGGATGTTGAAATGTGAAGATCTGTGGTTCGATACCGTAGTTATGGCATTGACCTACAATGTAATACTGAGTCTCATGGATAGGACTTGGGACTAGTACTGGGTCCTTCTTTCTTATCCAAAATTGATATCCTCTGTTTCTAGTACTAGTTAATTAGTATTAGTCTAAAATAGCTACAAAACTAAATGTTAAGGAATAAATACAGTCAAACCTGCTACTAAATATTGACCAACTGTATAGAAAGACCACCTGTCTACAAAGACCACATTTTTTGTTTCCCTTGAAAATGGTTTCTCATTGAAACATGTACTGAAGGAACCTGTAAATAAAGACCACCTCCCTATAAAGACCATTTTTCTTTTCTCCCTTGGGTGGTCTTTATAGACAGGTTTCACTGTATCAGGAAGAGCATACATTCCAAACTCTCTTCCACTGTGCTATGTCACTCTTCCGTTCCCCCTATCCACCCTCATTCAGTGCTGCGCTGTTTACTTTGCATATTTATACACATATGACTTTGGACAACCGAGGGAGGGAGCAACCGGGGAGGCCGAGTCCCGGGTGAGAGTCTAGTGGGCCGCACTCGTTTGTACATCCGCCCTCTGTCTAGCCTGGCTGCCCCAAATTAATATTTCCTGTTGATATTACCAGGGGGACCTGGACTCGGAAATTTGCGGCTCTGGTTAGGAAGATGTTGGGTGCAGGGTTTCCTAGATATCTCTCCCTGCAGCACTGGAGGGGAAGGGGTTTTAATAGACACATTTAGAATGCCGACGAGCTAGCGTAAGAGATAGCGCAGTGTCACTTTCCAAATTCCATCTTGCAGACGAAGACATCAAGTCGTTGTTCCGTTGCATTTTGAAGGATCCCCTCCCATTTGTTGTTGTCTTGTTTCTGGACATCTCTTTTCCTTTCCAATTTTTTTTTAGTAATTGATCTTGTCCTGGAGCAGTTGTACTTGACATTTGAGTGTTTCTTTTGTCTCTTGTCTCGTTTCATCTTCTCTTTCATTTTGACGAAACCCTGAAAAAGATATCTCAATGTTTGTTTATGTCTTCTAATGAAGACATCAAGTCACTGTCATTTTTCTTAGAAGTCTTCTCTTTCTACTAGTCTGACATCTCTCTTAATGCCTCTTTTCCTTTTCCTTCTCAAGTAATTAATCTTGTCCTGCTCCATTTATGCCTGACCTTTCTGTGTTAAGTTAATTTTTGTGTCTCCCCATTCGTACTTCTCTTTTCTTTTCTCTATCTTTTTTTGTGTTTGTGGTTTTCACTTGAAGTCGTCTTTGTACTTCTTTTTTTCTTCCTTTTTTTATTAACACCTGAAACTGTCTTTTCCAAGAACCGGTGGCATTATTTGTGAGGAGTTCATACATGCCAACTGTTCAGATTAAAGAGGAACATTCCTCTTTTTGGGAGAAGATAATTATCATTTTAATGCAGGTGTTCCTCTTCCTGTACAAATTTGTCTGTAGTATTGAATAGGAGAGTTAGGATTGTTCCTCTTTTTTTTGAAAATAGCATAATTTGTACAGATTTCTGATTTTCAAATGTTGGCATGTATGGGAGTTTCATGCAACAGATTTATGCAGTAATAAAATGAAGCACAACACAAATGTTCTAACTTAAATAGCGAAAGTTTCCTGCATCGCACAATGATTATTTAAAATTCACTAATGTTTTTTTTCTTCATGATGTCCCGCATCACAGTGGAGGGGGGGGGGGAAGGATGATAGAGAAGAGAAAAACCTGCCGCTAGACAAGTTATTGCTACGGTATCAATTATGAATACAAAATCATCAGAAGTGCTTTTATTATTTAGATACATGAGACATCACGTGTATGCCCGCTACTCTCTCTCTCTCTCTCTCTCTCTCTCTTTAAGTGTCATATCGATTGACTTTGGTGATCATGCTGTTCCACAACCCTCGGCTCCTAGCCTTCTCTATTAGCACCACTCCCAGTTCTGTCACTCCTCTCTCTTCTAACAATTTCTGCAGACTGTTGATCCAAAGTATCTGCCTTATTCCCCTACTCCTCCTTCCCACAGTGTTCCCTGTCAAAGCAAGATTCTTTAGGCCTTCACTACTTTACTTTTAAAGCTAATAACCCAATCTCATCACCCATGTCTTTCTCCAACCCCCTCATTCTGTAGATGGTGGATCACTACCAGCTGAAGAAAGACGGTTTACTCTGCTGCCTTCTCGTCCCCTGTCACGACAACAACCGAGACACGCCCACTAGGAGGCGGCACTCAGGTAACCATGACAAACACTATTTATCCTCAGGATTTGCTATAACTACAATCATGTTCATCCCTCAAAACTCAAACATCTTAATTATACAACTGCTTTTGTTCATGTAAAAATCAGCATTCAGGATTCACATCTTCATTATGACATTATTGTATAGACAACTCCTTTTTATTTTTGCTTTTAAAGTCATTTAGAATCCACATTTTAATGATTTAATAGTTGCAAGGAAAATGGTTGTCCAAAAGAGATGTTATAGATTCCAATATTGGTGTGTGTGGTTTTTTGTTTAGACCTACATTGTAGATCACAAAATTAGAGAATACATGGGTGAATTGCCATCAAAGTTTCATGTTTCTTGTAAATAAAACATGCAACATAAAAAAGGGTCAACCTTCATATAACTTGGATTATGTTTCCTTTCAGCTTGCAGCCTATTCAGTTTATTTTTATGTTCTTGTCCAATATGTTTTTCATGTGTATTTTATGTCATACATGTATATCTGATTGATTTTTTCAACTGAATGAAATAAAATTGAACTGAATTGAAGTGAACTTGTAACTGCCATGAAACAGACCTTGGAAATCCTGCTATATTTTATTTGAGGGAAGCAGACATCAACGCAGCCATGCAGAGTTCTCATTTGCTTATCATTCATCTCCACACCGCAGACTTGTTTCATTATGTTTCATAACTAGTGTAACACGCGTTCAGTTTATACACCATATGCTCATCTTCGTGTATTCCGCATGTATAAAGATAGAGACCACTTCAGTACTTGTAAGAAGCGCTTTACCAACATTTATTAATTCTGCTTTCCATCCTCTTCAAGTGCCCTTACAATAAATCCAATCTCTGTGATAGTCGTAAACAATTAAAAACTTCAGTTTACTTTTGTTATACAGTAAGTAGGGTATTATTCGAATGAGAAGCCATGGATTTATAGGATACAGATAGTCAGTAGACACTGGCAGAATAATAAACTCACTTTATATAGCGCATAGTCAATTAAAACTACTCAATGCACTTTACATACAGCTCTCGAAGATTACTTAACTAAAATACAATCAAATGGGTACAAATTAACTTTGTAACACGATCCGGTAGATCATTAGTAACACAGGGGGTGGTAAGACACAGGTATTATCATTATATTTTCTTGTTACTTTCCTGTGTTTTTTCTTTGAAGGTGGTCAGTCTATTCATGTAGATGATGTACATGAATATGATGCCTATGCTGGTATGTTATTAGCAACTTTTGGAAAATGCACATTTTTCTTAAAATATGAAATCGTGCACCATTACTGCTTTTTGACTTGTCAAATTTTCTTTGATTTTTATCACTGGCCCTTGCACGGTCTCTTAAATTTAATTTAATGCACTTAAATAAGATTGGATTGGTCACAATTAAAGAGTGTAGGACCGTTCAAGAGACATTTTTAAAGTTGTCAATGAGCTTCAAATTTGATTGCAAGTTCCTGCAGGAGATAGAGGAGGGAGTTCACTTTTTTTTTCTACCTACATTTGTGGGAATATTTAGAATTACATATTAGAATCAATCATCCCAGAGTTTTGCATTCATTCCAAATTAAGAAAGAGAATAAGACTAATATATTATGTTAAAATAATCTTGATAATTTAATATAAGTATTTTCATTGTATAAGCTGTTTAAAATGACGTATTTAGTGTACTTTTAAGAATTCAAGACTTCATTTTGAAACTACACTGTGAAAAAATTAAAACAACTTCTAGTTTCAAATTTGATTACTAGTATTTTCATGAGATGTAGAAAGAGATGGATTTTTTTCTTTCTAATTTTGTTGCATGATTGTTAACTGCCCCCAATTTTAAACTCATTCAAAGTCAGAAATAAACACAATGTGCTTGATACACATTTATCTACTTGTAGTTTGAACACAGGCAATTTGGTTAAAGAATATATTACCAAATTTTCTTGTTGCTTTTATGTATTTCCTTTTGAAGGTATTGATGATAAAGCTGTTGACTATGCTGGTATGTTAAAAGTAACTTTTAGGGAATTGCACATTTTAAAAATTTTAATACGAACTGTGCACACATAACTACTTTTTTACTCTTCAAATTTTATTTTATTTTTATCGCTGACTCTTAAATTACATTTAATGCACTTAAATAAGATTGGATTGGTCACAATTAAAAAGTTTTAGACCGGTCAAGAGACGTTTGTAAAGTTGTCAATGAGCCTCAAATTTAATTGCAAGTTCCGGCAGGAGATAGAGGAGGGGGTTTAAAAAAAATCTACCTTTATTAGTGGGAATATTTCAAATTACACATGTACTTGCTCAAATTCGGCATTTACTTGAGTTCTGGTAAAAAAAAGAAAATGAATTCTCACAGAATCAAACGAAACTTACACCGAATGTTCAAGTTTACAAATAAATGTCATGTGCCAACAATTTTGGAAGAAAATGTATACTGGCGGAGTAATGAGCATAGAAAGACAAGGAAATCAAGGTAGTACTAGCCCGGACACCATGCGTGTTGTCCTATATATAGCTTTCTGTGTACAGTGCGTGTTACTTTACCAAGACTCGGTCAAATTTATTATGATTTTGATGACTCTAGAACCTTGCAGTGCACACCAATACTTACATGCTACATGATCAACTGTTTCTGATCCTTTCCACACCTTTTTTTCACAATGCAATCGCATTACCAGTACTAAAGTTTATCTTTAAGAAAGAGAGTAAGAACCACATTTTTTGTTCAAAAAATCTTGATAATTCTGATAATTAAATTTGTAAGCTTTTTAAACTTACGTACCGGTACACGTACATGTAGACAGTGTACTTTATAGATTTTGAGAGTTCATTTTGATACTACTCTGAGAGAAAATGAAAATGATTTCTAGTTTGTGCCTTACTTAAGCTACAAATTTGATTGCTAGTACTTTCATGAGATGTGGAAAGAGATATACTGTATGTTCTTCTTTCTAATTTGTTCGCATGATAGTTAATTGCCCCAGATTTTACATTCATTCAAAGCATGAAATAAAACAACGTACATGTACAGTATATATACATGTATATATATATATATATATATATATATACTGTAGATCTACATGCAGTTTAAACACAGGCAATATTGGTACAGAAAAATTACCACATTTTCTTGTTGCTTTCCTTTTGAAGGTATTGATGATAAAGCTGTTGACTATGCTGGTATGTTAAAAATAACTTTTAGGGAATTGCACATTTTTAAATGTTTAATATGAACTGTGCACACATAACTGCTTTTTTACTCGTCAAATTTTCTTTAATTTTTATCGCTGACCAATGCGTGGTCTCTTAAATTGCATTTGATGCACTTAAATAAGATTGGATTGGTCGCAATCAAAAAGTTTATGACTAATCAAGAGATATTTGTAAAGTTGTCAATGAGCCTCAAATTTAATTGCGAGTTCCTGCAGGAGATAGAGGAGGGAGTTCAATTTTTTTTCTACCTGCATTTGTGGGAATATTTAGAATTACATATGAGAATCAATCATCCCAGAGTTTGGCATTCATTCCAAATTAAAGAGAAGGTTGAGTTCTGGGAAGAGGTGAAAAATAATTTGTGAGTGCTTATCATTCCTATTATGCAAGTGTGGAAGAACATCAGATAAGACATGTTCCCTAAAAAGCATGGCTCTTCAAATGCCTTCATATTCTAAATATGTCATGTAACATCGTAAAACTCTGGGGTAGGATTTTTACGCCACGTGTTCGCGTAGTCCCATATACATCTTTCTGTGTACAGTGTTTGTAACTTTACCAAGACTTGGCCAAATTTCTTATCATTTTGATGATTCCAGAACCTTGCAATACACACAAATTCTTATATGCTAGATGATCAACCTTTTATGGTCGATTCCACACTGTTTCTTTCACAATGCAATCGCATGACCAGAACTCAACTTCATCTTTAAGAAAGAGAATAAGACCAATATCTATGTTAAAATAATCTTGATAATTTAACATTTGTATTCTTAAGCTGTTTAAAGTGACGTATACAGTGTACTTTTTAGATTTTGAGACTTCATTTTGATACTACTCTGAGAGAAAATGAAAATTCTAGTTTGTGCCTTCAAATACTTAAGCTACAAATTTGATTGCAAGTACTTTCATGAGATGTGGAAAGGGATATATGTTCTTCTTTCTATTTTGTTCGCATGATAGTTAATTGCCCCCAATTTTACATTCATTCAAAGCATGAAATAAAACAATGTACATGTACATGCATAGATCTATATGTAGTTTAAACACAGGCAATATTGGTACTGATAAATGACCACAGTTTCTTGTTGTTTTTATGTATTTCCTTTTGAAGGTATTGATGATGAAGTTGTTGCCTATGCCGGTATGTTATTAGTAACTTTCAGGGAATTGCACATTTATACATTTTTGAAATGAATTGTGCACACATAACTGCTTTCTTACTCGTCAATTTTTTAAATATGTTTATCGCTGACCCATGCGTGGTCTATTTAATTGCATTTAATGCACTTGAATAATATTGGATTGGTCACAAATCAAAAGTTTTAGACATTTTATAGGCATTTTTAAAGTTGTCAATGAGTCTCAAATTCAATTGCAAGTTCTTGGAGGAGATGAGCAAGGGGGTTTTACTTTATTTTCCTTTTCTACGTATATTTGTGAGAATATTTTGAATAACTTACTAGAATTTATCATTCCAGAGTTTTTTAATTATTCCAGATTAAGAAAGATAGTAAGAACAATATTTTTTGTTTAAAGTACATGTAGTTGTGTGAAGATTTTAAAAACTAACTTTATTTTCATTATTGCAAAGATGAAATTTTGATTAGGTAATTTTATCAAAATTCAATGCTTGGAAACATTCAAAGTAATGATTATTATTATTAATTTAAAAAATACTTAAATATAGCCCGGCATAGCACCTGAAGCAGACCTGCCAACCAGTACGATTTAGTCGTATTTAGTACGATTTTTAGAAGCAAATACGACAGTACGATTTTCCTTAATAAAATACGATTTTCGTTGGGCATGATTTGCACAAGTAGACAATGTCCCATTTTCAGTGCCTGTGTTTTCATGTTCTCTTGAGTTCTTTCTCTTACTTCACTACCGTCAGGCTAAATGTATAATCTACTGCCTCACTCTAAATCCAGCGGATGGTATTATTTTGATGAAAAATGCAGCGATGAAAAAATAAAGAAATCCGTCGCTTGTAAACAAAATAAGACACAATTTTATTTTCAGCTGCATACACCGTGATATGTTCGGCGTTTCAAGAGGGAACAAATGCTGTTTATGCTATCATTCCGGGGGTTTTTCAATTTGAAAGTGGTTTCTTTTACTGCTCATTAATCCCTATCCTGTGTATTTACAAACAAAAAACTTTAGTATCAGAATCGGTTTCATATCCCTTTTTGAATGGTGTGAAATAATAGCATTGCAGTTATGTTCATTCTTTATGGGATGTCCTCTGATTGTGCATATACCAACCTAATTTTGTTCATTTTTACACAGCTACTTTAAATAATCTTGATAATTTAACTTATGTATTTATAAGCTGTTTAAAGTGACCTATATAGTGTACTCTTTAGATTTCGAGACTTCATTTTGATACTACAGTCAAACCTGCTTTAGTGACCACCTGTCTACAAAGACAACATTTTTTGTTTTCCTTGAAAATGGTTTCTCATTGAAACATGTACATTGTACTAAAGGCACCTGTCTACAAAGACCACCTGTCTGCAAAGGCCACTGTTTGTGTTTCCTTGGGCGGTCGCTATAGCCAGGTTTGACTGTACTCTGTGAGAAAATTAAAACAAATTCTAGTTTGTGACTTCCTTCAGCTTCAAATTCGATTGCAAGTACTTTCATGAGATCTGGAAAGGGATAGATTTGATTTCTTCTTTCTAATTTGTTTGCATGATTGTTAATTGCCCCCAATTTTAAATTCATTTAAAGCCTGAAATAAAAGCAATGTACATGTATATATCTACATGTATTTCAAACACAGGCAATATTTAGTGGTAGCGATATATTACCACATTTTCTTGTTGCTTTTATGTATTTCCTTTTGAAGGTATTGATGAACTTGATGCCTATTCTGGTATGTTATTAGTCAATGACAGGGAGATACACATATGTACATGTGTAAAAGGACATATAAACCTAAAATGTCTTTCATTTTTGAACAATTTTCTATGATTTTTGCACAGAAATTTCACTGCTTTTCATCACTGATTCGTGCTTAGTTTCTATCCATTTATACAAAATTTGGGGTCAAATATATTGCTATACACATGCATGACATTTAAAAAAGCGTGAAAAGAATAGCTGACATTAATGACCTAAAATCAGGAAAAAGGGTAAATTTTACAATGCTTGTTGAATTGTTAAAATGTATGTATAGTAGCCTTTTCAGGCTAGAATTGTAATTGAGGTAAGTTTTTTGAGGGGCTTAAACTTTTATATGGAGTTAACAAAAATAAAGGAAAAAGCATGAAAAAAAAATAGAAAAGGGTGTGATTTTGACAATGGATAAAACTTGTTTAGGGGGTGGTCATGTGTGTACAGTAATATTTATTTTCTGGATGCTCCCCCCCCCATTATTATTATTATAAATTTTCTGTTTTGGGAGTACAGATTTGTTTTTCTCTCTCTCTGAGTGGATGGGGATGCACAATGTTTTTTTTTTCTTTTTCTTCCTTAATGACAGTTTTCTTTCCATAAATATATTTACCAGTAGACCCTGCTGAATTATGAGTTACAACTTACAAGCATTATTATCTTAACTCTCAAGCATATTTAAAAAATATGAGATCCTCTTAGTGCTAAAACAAAGAAGAATTGGTTATCTCTTCTAATGTCCCAATCTTTCTAAAACTGTTAACAACCCATTTAACTGTGATGAAACACTTCATTAGGTTGTGTCAAATCTTTACTTTGCTTTTATTATAATTTCTTCTTCATTTTCTTTTCATTTCGTTTTGTTTTATCCGTTCATTATCTACACATATGAAACAGACAATGACAATGAAAGTGACGGTATGTTTAATAGCTCTAAACATTTTTATATATTCAAATGAATAAATATTATTTACCCAATATATATTTCCTCTTATACTCTAAACGTTCAGGTATACTATTCCTTGTTCAAATATCCATGTATTTCCTAAACGTCCCTTTCCTCACCTGTGTGGCACACCTAAAAATAATTAACATATTCACATACATGTACATGTACATGTATATTGGGAATAGTGTATAGTTTGTATGGATATTGTCTTCAGACCTCTACATTTATGTTTAGAACTTTAGTGCATGGTAGGGTATTACAGTCAAACCTGCTTTAGTGACCACCTGTATAGAAAGATCACCTGTCTATAAAGGCCTTATTTATCATTTCCCTTGAAACCTTTCCCATTCAAACTTGTATTCAAAGAACCAGTTCATAAAGATCACCTGCCTATTAATACCACTTTTCCTGGCTCCCTTGAGGTTTCATAGGTTTCACTGTAGTACTTAGCTCACTGCATCAAGTACATTTACACATATATGAATGGCAAACGTGTGTACTGGATACCAGCTAATTTGATGTCTGTCAACTCAAGCATGTACACCTTTTTACACTGTTGTATTTTTATCCAAGGTGAACAGGATGCCCCCTCAAGTTTCTCCACTCTTTTTTCTGTAAAAATATAGTTTTAAGAAATAAAAAGAAAGAAGAAATTTATTGCATCTATCATTAAAGATCTCACCTCGGAAAGCATTCAGGGTTTTTGTAAAAGTTATTTTTTAGGTTTTTTTAATACAAAAATATGACAAGTGTTTCTCTTTGGCTTGATGTTTAGTTTCTGATTGTTGCTGGAAAAGTAGACTTATGTATATTTGAAGGGGGAAAAAGTATTAAAGAGATAAGTCAATATAGGCCTATAGAAGACTAATAGTTTGCTGTCTTTCATGATCCAACTTTGGTGAAAGGGGGCTAGTAATACCACGTTTATTCTTTCCCTAAAATCCTCTCTTCACTGCTGTTTGTGAGTGGATTACATTAATGTGGTTTGTCAATTACCATGTACATGTCCATCTTGTATTTATTCTTGGACAATGGACATATGTATCATTGTTCACTCAAAGAAATGTCTCGATCTGTGATGAGTGATATTTCTCTTTTGTTTTGATTAACTCTAACAAAGAAAACACTATCCACTTTTATCCTTTGTTATATATACCTTTGTTCACTTAAAATAATGTTTTTATCTGTGAGGAGTGATATTTCTCTTTTGTTTTGATTAACTCTAACAAAGAAAACACTATCCACTGTTAGGCCAAATTTAAAAAAAAACATGTTTAGCGTCCTGTTTTTTCGAAAAATAGGAAGGAGGAGGCCCTTTTTATTTTTCATTTTTTCTTTCAAAATGGCTGCTCAAAATGGCCGCTTGGTACATTTTCCCTGACAGTCGAGACTATTTTTTTTCAAGATGGCCGCCGACAATTTTTTTTTTTTTTTTAATCAGAAATAGAGCCATTTTAGCAGTGTTTTTCATGGTTTTTTTCTTTCAAAAAAAAAAATTTCAATTAAAAAAAAAAAAAAAGAAAAAGAAAATAGGAGGCGGCCCCCAAAAAGGAAGCGGGCGGGGACGCTAAACATGTAAAAAAAATTTAATGGCCTTATCCTTTATACCTTTGTTCACTTAAAATAATGTCTCTATCTGTGAGGAGTGATATTTCTCTTTTGTTTTGATTCACTCTCACAAAGAAAACACTATCCACTTTTATCCTTTATACCTTTATTCACTTAAAATAATGTCTCTATATGTGATGGGTGATATTTCTTTTTTGTTTTGATTGACTCTACTAAAGAAAACACTATCCACTTTTATCCTTTATACCTTTATTCACTTAAAATAATGTCTCTATATGTGATGGGTAATATTTCTTTTTTGTTTTGATTGACTCTACTAAAGAAGACACTATCCACTTTTATCCTTTATACCTTTATTCACTTAAAATAATGTCTCTATATGTGATGGGTAATATTTCTTTTTTGTTTTGATTGACTCTACTAAAGAAAACACTATCCACTTATATCCTCTGTACCTTTGTTCACTTCCAATAATGTCTCTATCTGTGATGGGTGATATTTCTTCTTTGTTTTGAGTAACTCTAACAATAAAACCCCTTCCACTTTTATCCTTTATGTAACTCACTACTCCTGTCCTGTAAATTTTCTTTAAGAATCGTTACTCATTTCTGAATGTGCAAAACCTCTACAAATAATCATGTGACAACCAGTGTATCTTCCACTTGTAAAGGTAAATCTATTAAGCTAGAGGAAATCAAGGAGAAAAATAATAATCAGTTTCACTTTGCTCTTCCAAAAAAAATGTTTTCGTAAACAATGATCACTGATTGGGGCATGAAATAATGAGTACCGGTATGTCGTATGTTGGAGTCAGGAAGACGAATAGTTCATTCTTTAATACAGAGGTAACACCCTTCCTGCTCTGAACCGACGATACACCTACGTAATTTGAAAATAAGAGCTTTAGTAAAGCGTAACTATGTTTTCATTTATGATGTCCAATGTGTCAAAACAATTAAGTTCTCGACAGCATTGCATTGCGTGAGAAGGGAAGGGCGTGCATGCAAATCAAATTTACAGAGTTTTACAAGGAAATTGAAACGCGATTGGCATAATTGATTAGAATAATATGATATCTTCTCTGTCTAGTGATTTTAATGACCCACTCATGAGCAAAGGTGGTATTTAACTGAAGAGCCATGATTCAATCATTAAAAATTGCTGGACAAGGAAGAAATCAAAACAGTCTTTATTTTTGTCCTCCCAAGTAAATGGAATTTGTAAATATTCACATGATTGCGGTACACTCTGAAACTAAATAAAACAAAGAAGCGAAAGCAGCAAATCTGTTTATCCACTAACAATGATCACTTTGCACAAAATTTTCAAAAATATTTGTTATCTTTTTTACACTTATGTACAAACGTGGGCTAGAAACATGCACAAATCAAAATTGTCATCTTCACTTTGAAAAGTTTAATTGCTAGTTTTAAATATGACCAAAGGAATATATTATGCATGTATTATAGTTTTAGAGAAATAAAAGCCACTCAGTGATTATTTGCACATTTTGATCTTACAAAATTATATTCTAAAATGTTTTGCTTATTTGTCTTCTAGGCTCTTACACATCTCTATTATCGACTCTTGATTTTCTTTATCTCCTGTCAACTGTCTAACTTTTTATACAATATATGTACATTCATGAATTTATTTTGTTGTTACATTTATGTGGTGAAAAAGGGTAAATATATATGCATGATTAGTTCTCTGTTCTCACACTATAATCTTTACAAATGTTCATGGACATTAAAGATACATTCTCTGTTCAAGACTTACATAATTTTGTTTATGTCATATGAAGTACATAATAGGCCTTACTACTATATCTGACATCAGATTTTTTGTTTTGATTTTTAAAATTTAAAACCCATTAAATTACAGGAAACGTCTTGCTATCTCTTTTCGCTCTTTTGAGTACATTTTACCTATCTGTTTCAATTTCCTCGTTTATTTTCTTTCTATTCAAGTCCTTGATAGTACTCAAGGGCCAACAGGTTTTTTAGAAACAAGCCATCATCTGTTGATTATTTTTTCAAGGCACGAGGAAAAGACTACATGTACATGCTTCTTCCATTCATGTAATATGCTCAATAATTACCATGAGTTATCATGCATTTGACCATGCCTCGTATTCCATGATGCATACCCTGTGACCATCACTGAACTAAATGTACTGCTAAGATATCCAACAATACTAATGCTTGCATTTATGGCTTTTTTTTTAACCCTCTTTGCCTCCCCTCCTCCCGTCCCCTTTCCCTCCCTCTCTCTCTCTCTCTCTCTCTCTCTCTCTCTCTCTCTCTCTCTCTCCCTCCCTCATCTCTCTCTCTCTGTCTCTCTCTCTCTCCTTTCTATTTATCTCTCTCTTTCTCTTTCTGTGATCTCTACCCTCTCTCTCTCTCTCTCTCTCTCTGCCTCCCTCTTCCCTCATTTCTCTCTCTGTCTCTCTCTCTCTCTCCTTTCTATCTATCTCTCTCTTTCTCTTTCTGTGATCTCTACCCTCCCTCTCTCTCTCTCTCTCTCTCTGCCTCCCTCTTCCCTCATTTCTCTCTCTGTCTCTCTCTCTCTCTCTCCTTTCTATCTATCTCTCTCTTTCTCTTTCTGTGATCTCTACCCTCCCTCTCTCTCTCTCTCTCTCTCTGCTTCCCTCTTCCCTCACTCTCTCTCCGCCTCTCTCTCTCTCCTTTCTATCTATCTCTCTCTCTCTCTTTCTGTGATCTCTACCCTCCCTCTCACTATCTCTCTCTCGCTTTCTATTTATTCTGAATGCTAACGTACATCATGCGCACAGACATTCCACCGCAGAGAGCTGGTAAGTTTTGTTTGTTTGTTTACTCTTGTTGGTTTGCTTTATCTTTAAACCATTCCCATATTTTCCTTGTTTTAATGCCTTTATTATTTAATTTGCTTTTTCCAGCTCATCATTGGACTAGTTGTATTCACAGCCAGTTTTAATACCTTTCATACTTTAATAGAAAAGGCATTGAATTTCATTCATAAATAAGAATTCCAGTCATATCCTCTCCTTTTTACAATATCAAAAAGCCTTTAGGCAAGTTTATAGTAATCAAGCTTTTTAAAGAGGTTGTCGTCTCATTTTATACAGAACTCAAAAACAGCTTGGAAAAGGATCCATGTACTAATGATTACTGAACAGAGTTCCCAAGCATCCATGACATTTGTACTTGACATAAATTATGATAGCCAGGCATTTTGTAAATAATACATGTTCTATTGCGCTAGCAGATGTCTACTGATTCCAAGATTTTGAAGTGAATTTTGTTCATCATTGTATCATCATCTTTCTGTTACTTGTCTTTGTGTTTCCTTTCTTCAAGCAGATAGAAATCAAAGACGAATTGCATCTGAAGATGGAGGAGGTGTTCCCCCGACCCCTTTGAGAACAGTAAGTAGATCTGTGATGGCTCTGTTTTTCTTAGTAATGCCAATTTTCTGTCTGTTGTCTGATTTCAGGCCCTGACATTTGTCAGTAAGAGGCTTTTCAAGACTTTCAGACTCTGTATTGTTGGGAAATGTGGCTCCAGCACTTACAGAAACATGTAATATGTCTGCAGAAATATGAAAGTTTTGTGTAATATCAAGAGGAATAATTTTTTTAAAAGCCTGTCTGCACTAGTTTGGCCAGGGGGATTAGACCTCCCTGCAAGGTCACTGACAGGTGGTTATCTTATCGAATCAGCTCTCAAATAACATAAGAAAAAGGGGATCGTGGGGGACCAACAGGCAACGATTAGGCATTGTTTGCTATATAGAGGGCAAAAGTAGCTATAAGTAGTGCAGAGGGGCTTTAAAGTATATGCTGGGATAAAAGACAATTTTACATTTGAGATTGCTATTTAAATACAGACTGTGCTAAACCCCCCTCCTGTTGTTTCCTTGCATGCATCCAGGCCCTCTCTGTATCGGTGTCCAGTCCCCCTGGGATAAGGGCACCCCTGGAGTACAACCCTTCGCCCCCCACGCCCAACAGGACCAACTCCAGCAACAACGTCAATGACCTCCACCTGACCCAGATGGGCGGTCACGGCTGGGACGAGCCCGAACACGAAGGTGAGACGTCGATCGAGGAGTTTGTACTTGTGGGTGAGTGTGCCTTGCCATGTGGGGCCCGGCCTGTTCGGAGGAAGGGGATTTCCCCCCTGATATCGACAAGGCCTCTGGAATCTTGGCATGCAGGCATGATGAGCACTGCATGGAGCATGGCCCTGTTTCACAAAACTTGTCATCAGTGACAAATGGAAGTTTTTGTTATAAGCTACTGAAATCCTTGCTTCTGATTGGTTATCAACAGATTTGTCACTGATTTTTGTCATTTCTCATTGAAAAAAGGCTTCGTGAAACCGGTCCCAGGAATGCTCAGAGTTACGAGGTGCATGCTACATGTATGTACACTAACTTGAGGAATGCAGTGTGTTTGAAGAGTGTTTGAGCCTTGACATGGCTGGGTGTGGTCAATGGAAGTGGATTTCCCAGCCATTAAACAAGGCCATTATAAACAAGACATTCATACATTGTGTGGAATGCATGGATCACACAGGCACTTGGTTTTAGGAGGTGCATGCACTCTCGACATTATGTAATAATAATAATAATAATAATAATAATCTTTTTAGTCCACTCAAGATTTTTTTAAACCAAAATGAAAATTATTTTTGCCCAATTGGTTGTGAGCCCGGCAGCCACTGAGCAGCGCCAGATCGACGTTGCTCTATCCCCTTATTGTTGAACGCCAAACAAGGTAGCAGCAACTCCCATCTTTCAACGTCTTTTGGTATGACGCGGCCGGGGATCGAAGCCATGACCTCCCGGTTGTGAGGTGGACGCTCTACTGACCGAGCCAACACTCCGGTTATGGGGTATTACAGCATGAGGGACATTCCACTTTCTTTAACATCTCAACATCTCAAAAGAAATTATTGACTTTGCTTGCTCCGATCGTAGAGAAATTATGGATAATATCTGAGATGGTGTTTTTTTAAATTCCTCTGCTCTTAAGAGATATTATTGCAGGGGACCCTCTTTTAAAATTTAGATTATCCATGGTGCATTTTTGGTAGCTGCAATATCTTAAGAACAATTTGAGGCAAGATTTAGCACTAGTTATAAAATAATGTATTACAGTGAGGTAGCAAATTAGATATAAGGGTAGTTTACATTTAGGCTAATGGCCCAATTTATATGAAACATATTAAGCAGAAATTCTGGTTATTTTTATATCTCAAAAATATTTGAGGCTCAGTTTACACATTTAATTCCAGTGCGCCTCGCTGTAGCGATCTAAATAGAATAGATGCTTCATGCTTTTCTTAATATATGATTGTAGACAATTGAAGTTATTTAAGATTTTAGTGTCATAGGTAGTACATAGAGCATAAAGATACTTACATGTAAATGTATGTAAATGTCTGTATTTGGCAGAACCATTTTATAGTGGTTAGATTAAACTTTTCATTTGAATTTTTCAAAGAAGTATTTAAATGGAGCATATTTTAGTGCAACATATATGTATCACAGTGGCACAGGATTGGGGAATTCATGAGGATTTCTAGAATTTTGTATTTTTTTTTTTTTTTTTGCATGAACAAAATATTGGTCATGTTATAGGAATATATGTGATTTGCATTTTGGAATTGTTTTCTTTGTACTGAAATGAAAGCATGGAATAATTTTATGTTTGAACTTTATAGTCGTAGGATTTAAAACTTAACTTAACTTAATACCTACATGTACATGTATACCACGTAATCCATCCTTCTTATATGGTTTAAAATATACATGATTTGTGGAGTGAGTGAGCAATTATGGTACAAATTTGTTCATGTAAGTTCTTCAGCTTTCAGGCCTTTGTCCACTAGCTTATTTGAGAAGACACATGCTTCTATCTTCCAAAACTAGTCCAATATAATAATCCACCCCCCCCCCCCCCACTCACTGTTATTTAGAGTACCGCATGTTCCCTCCCTTTGGGGTGTTAAAGTCAAAACGGGCCAGATTTTTGAAAGCACCCCCCTATCTCCAGTGTGTATAAGTCAATATGGGCTGGATTTTGTTGCATGAAAAGCACCCCTTTTCCAGAGATTTTGGGAACACGAATGCGGTCCCTCCGACCCCGGAGTGGGGGGGGGGGGGTAATAATGGGGCTTGTCTTGCATCACATTGCATAATACTGCTTGTGTCTCATGCCTTCAGTGACTGATTCTATTCCATTTGTACGCAATAACAGAAGAGCTTCCATCTCAGAGGCCTAGAGAATACCACGACGACGATGACAAGATTTATGGAGTAGCCAACGAGCAGGAGAAACTGTACGACTACCTGGCCAAGACCAAGACCACCAAAAAGCTGGACGCTACTTGTCTCAACCTGGGAGATCAGATAGGTAAGAAGGGGGCTTAATCGTTCAACCCATTGCCTGCAGAACCAGTGTGTTCCTGTACTAAATGAGACGATTCAGGGGTCAGGAGCTTAAGGCCTATTAACATAATGGATCATATTCAACTCAACTAGATAAAGAAATTTTCGGCTTGCACCCAGTAAATAAAGATCGCATACTCAATCTTGTAATTGTAAGTTCATCGTGACTGTGCCATGGACCGGTGATGGCCTGGTGGTAGAGTCGCTGCTTGGCAAGCAGTAGATGGCAGGTTCAAATCCTGTTGGTTCCAAGATTTTTAAATCACAAGATCAAGTATGCGATCTTTTTCTACTCGATGCAAGTCAAAAATGTCTCTACAACAAAATTTGATATGTTAAACCTGCCAATGTGAGAAAGCTAAGTCAAAGCAAAGTTTTAGAAAATTATTGATTTCGAATGCAGTCTAAAGCAATCTGTGAAAGATGCCTTAAAAGCTGAAACCTGTCTGCGGAAAAGAGTCTATAAGTTAAAAGATTTGAAATATTCATGTCACCGACAGGTCTTCAATCCACCCAAATGTGAATGTATCAAGGCAATGACACAACCATTGGGTCACTGATGAATTTGTCTGATGATCTGTAACCACAGGTCCTCCTGTGTTTACTTCATAAATCTCTTAGTTCACAAGTTGGGAAAGAAAGTTTGCAAGGGGGGAGGAAATTTTTCTTCTTCTTCTGTAGAAATGTATTTATTTAGATTTCTCCTCGTTTGGCTGTATGCTCTTTCAAACCTCAAATTTTCAACAGCCCCTGGTAATCACAGTTAGGGGTAGGAAAGATCATCTAAAGATCTTGATGATCTGCCAAAGGTTACCACTCAATTAGAATTCAGTTGGACTCTGTTCAAATTATCAGTTAAACATACCCCATGGTCAAGGACAATGTTTATTTCTATGGCACTCCTTATGACAGGTGTGAATGAAAATACACATGAGTAAAACAGAAATATTGAAGCCATTACAGGAAATTTCCTAATTCAATTTGCTTTTCTCAGTCAGATGAGTGAGGTACTGTATGTGTACAGTACATGTACATGTATATTCAAGCATTTTAGGTGTATAAAGACACGAGTCTAATCATTTCAAATCTAATGTTCATTAACGACTTTGTTATTATCTGGTCATGATAGTGGGGCTTTTTGTATATTTACATAAACATATGTTTTATGGAGTAAACTTGCAAACTGCTTATTTATTGACGTCTTGATATGTTTCTTTCTATAGTCCCCTTATCAACAGGGTGCAAATAAAAATTACAGTCAGAATTAAAAGGGCACAAATAGAATTTGTTTTTTTATATGATCAAAAAATATCCAGAGGAGAGGGAAAAATCCTAAGTTAATTTGTTTAAAGCTAGAATTTAAACATTTCAAATTGTAAATTTATTTTTTTGTAATATGTGGTGAAAATCAAACAAAAGCAAGTTGAAAAAGGTATAATTTCTTGTTATACAAAATATGTATTTTCTCCAGGCCAACAAGACATAATGCACTTTTAAAATATTTCTTTCATATAGAAACTAACTCTTAGGGTAAGCTTGTCAACAATCTTTTCCTGCTACAGTAGCACTAGCCTTCACTTTAATGTTGAACTATCAAATATTGTTCTGCTCGCCGGTATGTGGAAGTCATTCTAAGATCATTCTCGTACAGGTATTTGAAGAATGTGAATGTATCATTTAACGTTTGTTGTTCTACTCATTGCAGGCAAGGGTAACTTTGGGTCAGTATTAAAAGGCACCTGTATGGCCAATGGTCAGCTCATTCCAGTAGCGGTCAAGACGCTCAAAGCAGACTTTGGCATTCCAAACTCAGAGGTAAGTAGTAAAAAAAAATACTTTTTAAATCTCAAAAAAATCTAAGAAATAAGACTCCCGGATGGTTAATTTCAAAATGGTGACCAAGATGGCCACCAATACCTTAAAAAGCCATAAATCATGAAATATTCATCTTGGAAATGTGATTTTGGTGTCTATACCTAGACTGTAGGGGGTTGAATAATCAATTCATACCACTTACAATGGGTTAAGGCCACCATGAATCCTGGGAATTCAAGATGGCGTCCAAAATGGGCGCCAGTCTCCAAACTACGTTTATTTACAGTAAAGCTATAATTATCAACATTAAAATAACGCTTTTTAGACGCAGTTGAAAAGGTGTAGAATACAATATATGCCAGACTTTTCTTAGTTATTGGTACAAATATAATCTTAGAATTACTACCTTTTATTCGCCAAATCTCAAATTATGTTATTCTCCTCCCTTGGTTGAATCAGCCTGAGATCGTGAGAGAAGCAGAACTTATGGCAGGCTTGGATCATCCACACATAGTCAGAATGATAGGTAAGTGAGAAAAATGAAAGATGTTTATATCGATGTAGGATTCAAGGGGAAGTCCAGTCTGATATTAAAAGTTGGTTTTCAATAGATGCAACAACAAAAAATGAGAGGGAAAGGGCTGTGAAAGTTTGAGCAAAATCCGAATGAAAATAAGAGAGTTTGAATTTTTTAAAGTTGCAATCAATCAAACACAAATTGGCAACTCAGTGACATACAATGTATCTTACGAGCTCTCCTCCCATCCACTTTGTACTAGAAATTTAAAACTTTCCATTTTTGGACTTAAGAAAATCTCCAGTCATACATGCACCCTAAATGTAATTGTTACATTTATGTTTTTAAACAACCCCGGTATGAAACAAATATATTCCGTCATCAATAACTAAGAATGAAAGTTTGTGACATTTTCTGGGTGGTCTTCCCCTTTGGTACTAGTTGCCATTTTATACAGCATCTGTATGAAACACATCTATTTCGGAATCAATAACCACGAAAATGAAAGTTTGTGAAATTTTCTGGGTGGTCTTCCCCTTTAGAGTTACTAATTGCCATCTGGATTTGGTTGTGAAAGTCAATTAATCATTGATGAATTGTTCTCAGGATGTAAAAGAAAACATCCCTGTATATTTTGATAAACATGAACAGTGTTTATTGAAGGAAAACAAACAATCATGATCATTTTCAAATCAAGGGATACAATTCCATTCGTAAGGCATTAGAAATAGACCCCCCAAATCATTAGTAGAATCCAATATCGCTGAAAAATCCTTGTCCTCTACAATTCTTGTTGTCCAGGATCTTTTGGACTGGTGCTTTTTACAAATATCTTTAAAAGTTGATTTACCTTTGAATATAGTAAATGAAATGCATGTACTCCCATAACTTTTTTTAAAACATGTTTTTGTACCACGATTAAGATAAGTTGACCCAATCTGGAAAAACACCCACTTTTATATAAGTTAAAGCCCCACTGTAATAGTTTGGCCAGGAGGGATTAGACGTACAGTGTAACTGACAGGGGGTTATCTCATCAAATCAGCTCTCAATTAACATAAGAAAAAAAGGACCATGGGGGGACCAACGGTCACCGCTTAGGCATTGTTTGATATATAGAGGGCGTAAGTAGCTATAAGTACATGTAGTGCTACCGGTTACCTGGCTGCCACCATCAGTTGCTGGCGATTGGCGACCACATCTGCACATCTTCTTGTTGTCTTTCTCCATTTGTGTCTATCCTGTGCTAATCTTTTGGTTTCTGAATATGGGAGACCTGTCCATTCTTTGATGTTATCAAACCACTGCTTTCTCTGTCTGCCTCTTTTTCTTTTTCCTTCTACTTGGCTTTCTTTTATTTGTGCTGCTAAGGGGCTCCCACTGCTAAGCAGAATGTGTCCAAAGTAAACCATCTTGAGGCGGGCCACTTTTCCAAGTAGTGCAGTGGGGCTTTAACTGATTACCGTACATATTTGCTTCATCTATAGTAACTTCATCTCCGTTGCTCATTTCAGGTATATGTCATGCAGCAGAGATGATGCTCGTTCTGGAGCTAGCAGAACTCGGACCTCTCCACAAATACCTCAAAAAACATCAGTAAGTTTGGTCGGAATCAAGTTTCCTTAAAGGGATCCTGTAACTTTGTCTCAGATTCTGAAACAAAATCCTGGATTTAGCTCATGCTGCAATGATAATCATTAACATTTAGGTCAGTCAGGAACCCCATGACTTTTACAACCCAATCGCCTGTCTGATTATCAAGATATTTATGATTGGAAATCGAAATCAAATTGTCTGTTTCACCAGCGGTTTTTATAACACTACAGTCTATTGGGGAAAATGAGTATGGTAAAACCGGTCACCCAAAGATTTTTACTTTTTTGAGGCACTTTATGATCATTTTGGAGCGCAAGTTTTTTAGGGCTTCGATATTACATTCTATCACAGACACTGATACATGCATCTCAGGTTTAACATTGCTAACCGATGCCCTTAAGGCCTGCAGGCAAGCGCTAATTTCAAGCTCTGATTTCTCTCTCTCACCCTCCAGGGAGATGAGCACCAGGAACGTGTTGGAGTTGATGTACCAGGTGGCACAGGGTATGTGCTACCTCGAGAGCAGGCAGTTCGTCCATCGCGACCTCGCGGCGCGAAACGTTCTTCTCGTTGACGAGACCTTCGCCAAGATCAGTGATTTTGGCATGTCCAAAGCTCTAGGACTTGACAGCCAGTACTATGTGGTAAGCATTCGCTCCGAGATAATTCCCAAATTTATTTGTGAATCAAAAGAAAATTATCATGCATAATCTTATCTTTACTGTTTACAGAAGCTTATTGATGGTATAAGGTTTGAAGTCTTCATATTTTATCAAGTTATGCACACTGAATTTTCATAATGACCACTTATTAATCTTTCTGTATGATATACTTGTGTATTTGTCTTCTTCTGTTTCTCTTTTTTATTGTTTCTTAATATAAATGCACTTCCCATTACTATCTATTCATCAGGGCACTATGCCTTTCCTTATAGCTCCCAACCTCCATCTCACTGTTTCTCTCTTTGCTTTTTTCTTTGTCTCTATTCATCTATATTTGTCTCCTTCAGTATCTAGGCCCTGTTTGGTCAAACTTGTTATTAATTTTTAAAATGCTAAATTTCTATGACAAGTTTGCTCTCAGCCAACCAAATGCCACAATTTTAGTAGCTTACAACAGTTATTGTTATATTATACAAATAATACATGTTTGCGAGTGCATTAGTGAATATGCACTGCATGCAGGTTAAGCCACAGTAGGATAATGAACAAGACTTATCGAATTCATTGTCCGTCTCATTGTGACTTAACCAAGTGCAGTGCATATCACTAGTGCACAAGCTAAAAACATGTATTATTTGTTTTATATGATGGGTCTACAATAATATATATAGTATAAACTCAAAAAAGTGACTGTTGTTATCACCAAATCCACTCCAGTACATATAGTAAAAATTAATGCACGCACACATGATCCATTTTGACGCTTTTCATAGGCTACATTCTTGAACCCATTTTTATAAAAACTCGTTATTGATAACAAGTTTTATGAATCAGGACTCGATCATTTGCCCAGCTTCTACGGGGCTCTTCATTCCGCTTTATAATATATTGAATTGTCAATAGACCAGTTCACGGTTAGCACAAGTCCAAAATGACCCCAAATATCCACAGATCTTAAAAACACGGAGAGGTCCCACTTTGTACATTTTGAAATAATCGCACCTATAGCGATGGAGGTGCTACATAAATAGCCTTTTTTCCCCCTTTTCAAAGAATACTTCCACCTGTGTATCATGGAGTGCACTGCTTGTGCTTAAATGAATAATGATAACATAACTTTCATGAGCAGTTATCTAGTATTTTGTCTCGGTGTATTTCACAATGTGGTCTGCAATGAGCTTTATCTGCTCATGCTCATGCTCAAACTGAAACTATGAAATGGCTTATTGAAACCTACATCCAACTCATTTCTTTCTTTCATTTCCTCTGATTTCAGGCAGAAACTGCTGGCAAATGGCCACTGAAATGGTATGCACCGGAATGCATCTACAAATTCAAATTCAGCAGTAAGAGTGATGTGTGGAGCTACGGGGTGACTCTCTGGGAGGCTTTGTCCTATGGAAAGAGACCGTATGCAGTAAGTCAAATCATTCTTAACTTTATATCTTCAGGTGCATTCTAGTCTCTGGCCATACAGAGGTTTACTATTTTACTCGTGCATGAGAACAATTTCATTCGTGATCCAACATAAAATGCGCAAATCTTAAAGCCTATTTGCACTAGTTGGGCCAGGGGGATTAGACCTCCCTGCGTGGTCACTGGCAGGTGGTTATCTCATCAAATCAGCAGTCTCAATTAACATCAGAAAAATGGGACCATGGGGGATCAACGGGTACTGCTTAGGCGTTGTTGGCTATATAGAGGGCGCAAGTAGCTACAAGTAGTGCAGTCCAGCTTTAAACCATACAGAGGAAATGTAGGAAAAGAAGGGTTTCTCCTTACTTTAAGTATATTATGTTACTTCTGTTATTTAGTAGAGAAAATTTATTGTATTAAAGACTGGATTGTCAAGTTTCAGAAAAATTTCAATACAAAAAAATGGAAAATTACAACGATTAATAAAAAAAGATTAAGAAGGCTTTTATTACACTTAATATCCAAGTCTTTTAATAATTTATTGTAGAAATAGATTTTTTCTAAGTCCATCCTAACCAACTACCGTATTACCACTGTTTCACAATCAGACTTCTAACATTTCTCTTGGGATAAACTTCAACTTTTACAGAGTATGAGAGGGCAGGAGCTGATGCAGTTTATAGAGAATGGAGACCGATTATCTCAGCCCGACAGATGTCCAGACGATGTCTACAGTCTCATGAGGAGATGCTGGCTATCAGAGTAAGTTCAAAGGTCGCTCATATTTTGAAGTTTGGCGCGATGGCTCAGTGGTAGAGCAGTGGTCTTGTAACCAAGATGTCTCGGGTTTGATTCCAAGTCAATGCGCTTGTTTCCTTTGGTAAGGCATTAATCCTCATTACCAAGTCCCTCAGAGAGGACTTAAAGCCGTAGGTCGTCTACTTACAGGCATAAACATGTACATGCTTTCTTAGCAGTCTGGTAAAACAATCATCGATCTATCAATCGTCATAAGTATAAGTAAGAACACTTACCCTATTATTGCCTTTGTAGGAATTTTTAGGATTTTTGTGTGATTTATTTTCAAGGCCAGTTTCTCTTTAGGCGTGATAGGAGATATTTTTTTTATTTTTCTTGATTGTTTAGCGGTCATTTCAGAATGTAGGAATGTAATATTATTAAACATTGGGTGAAGCTCCAAGACTGTGAATTGTCCATAGAGCCTTTTATGGTAAACCTATCGAATGAATGCAAACAGGGATGTAATGCCTGAAGAACAAAAAATGACAGACCTGTTGTCTGTATTCTACTTGCTGTCTATGAATCCTCACGCTGTTATCTTCCTTATCTTGCAGAGCCAAGGATCGACCAGGCTTCGGAGACATCGAAAGCGTCTTGTCGGATATTCTAAAGCGCCTGCAGGCAGGGACCCTGAGAATGAGAACGGACAGGCAATGAGAAGCAAAAGGACTCAAACAACTCTAAGCCCAAAAGGGCAGGCAGAAGGACCTATGTGGGCAATACTTGTAAAACCTCTTTGGACCATTCATGAGAAGATCCTGTAGGATGGCTGGTTTTGGGACGACTCAGAGATTTTCAAATGCACGGTGATAAAAATGACAGTATCCTCCAAAATCGAAAGCATTATGGCCCTAGGAAAGTCGTGACATCTCTTAGTACGGCTTACATCGGAAATCATTTGTGCGAGATCTCTTTAATACCGCCCTCTTGAAGCACTTGGGTGTATCTTGGATGATTGAAGTTACCACCGTGGAGTTTTGAAACGGATGACGCAGAATTCCTGCAAGACTGAGGGACCTTGGGCTAGATGTTCCTTTGGTGGTTCATCAGTGGAAAATCCCTTAACAATGCTGTGATGCACATGGGTCAATCTTGGGCGCTCCGTGTCATCGCAGGAAGACTTTTGAGGTGAATGAAGCCATTCCGTCGGGACTGAAGGTCCTAGCATCAGTTGTTCTTGAATGATTCCGGGTCAAGGTCTTTGGACTCTGTCAAGGACTTTATTTTTCTTAGTGTGTAACACGAGGCTACAACATTTGAAAACCTGGATGATCTCCTAGCTCTCGCCAGAGTAGGATCACTTCATCAAATTAACTTGGGATATCACCACCAAATACTTCATCCGAACTTCAAAATCAGGCATCCAGCGATAGGGTTGAATAGCATTGCAAAATATGTATTTTATGAGTGTTTGCAATAACATTTGTAAGAAAAGATGTAATTTTATCAAGAAAGAGCAAAAAAAAGGTGAAGCACTTGTGAAAAGCTATTGTACTTGTATAGTAAAGAAAGGAAGATGAAATGTAACCAACTTAGCCACCAGAATATATGTATAAAAATATTTATATATATCAGATCAGCTTTGGGAAAGTGATACATCATGTTAGACACGGTATTTCAGACACATTTAAACGTAGTATAGCTATTTTTTTAGATCGTATCTGTATAGAAATATGTACAGGGAGAAACGGCTATGTTTTTTAGTAAGAGGTTATATCATATAGTAGTACTGCCTAGGATTCTATAGAATTTTAGAATCAGGACCTGACAGGATATTTTTTCAGCAGCTTTGTTATTAGGGCCAGAATGCAGATTGGTGTGATGGAATGAGGGGGGGGGGGGGGGGGGGGGGGGGTTGAAGCCTAGGCGATCTAGCAAGTGTATACAACGTCATACTGTAGATTTGAGTTGGGTGTTTTCATTCTTGTGAAAATTGTGCAGCCAGGGGGGTGTTTCACAAAGATCTGAAGTCAAACTTAACTCTAAGTTGGACTTAAAAATTATGGAGAGCCATTTGTAGCTTTAAAATAAAATACATTCCAAAGCGAATATCGAAAGTTTTTTAGACTTTTTATAAATTCCACGTATTGAACATGAAATCTCCCCGATAATAGAAAATATGAATAATTCATATCAAAATTGTATGCATTTTAAAATATCTTTTACAAAATTTGTTCATAGATGCTAACAGCTTTCCATTATAATTAAGTCCAACTTAGATTTAAGTTTGACTTAGGATCTTTGTGAAATACCCCCCTGGGGTCGAGGAAGAAGTGTGAAGGTACAAGGAAACTGTTTGTATGATTTCAATGCCTAAAGATGTGGTGGTGTTATTATGCCTTTGTTTCAGTGCCTCTACTTTTCTGTCTGTGTCCTAGGGGGTGTTTCACAAAGATCCTAAGTTGAACTTATCTCTAAGTTGGACTTAAAAGTTATGGAAAGCCATTAGCATCTTTAAAAATATTTTGCTTTTTTTTTATTTTTAAGAGGCATAAAATGTAGATTCAAATCATTCATAATTTTCTATCAAGGAGATTTCATGTTCTTAATGTGGAATTGATAAAAAGTCTGGAATACTTGATCTTTTCCTTTTGAATATATTTTATGTTAAGGCTACAAATGGCTCTCCATAATATTTAAGTCCAACTTAGAGTTAATTTCAACTTAGGATCTTTGTGAAACACCCCCCAGTTAAATATTATCTCTAGCACACAATACAAAATTGCCAAAAGTATCCTATTCACAAAGCCCCCCCCCCCCCTTGTTATTTCACCATGTTCCTCCTATTACTTTTAGTTCATTGGAACTTGCAATATTGAGATTTCAAAAACATTAGAGAGTTACTCCACGGTTAGACGGGATTGTTTTAGAACTGTTATGTCAGGCAAGGCCTTAATTCTCTGATACATGTACCTATATGTATCTGTACGTGTTGTCTCTTTGAAAGGACTTTAGCTGTAGAATCCCCACAAGCTTGCTAAGGAGAACTTTGTGTCTTTGTTTTACGTTTCAATAACTCCAAACGAACTAAAATTCCTTTATCGCTAAAGTAATGGTTTATCCCCCGTTCTTTGCAAAACTAGCATACTTTCCTTTATTGTATCTGTGGTAAATTATGACATAAGTCATATAAACATTATTTGATTGCCTAAGAAATGGTACATTCCATTAGAGTAAATGTCAGTTATGAAGAACTTTACAATATCACTCAAAGTCGTCACCAAATAATGACTTGCTTGCATCTTCAGTCGGTCATGAACATACACATTAGTTGAATCAATAATAATGATTTATGTCTGTTATATTCTTGTTTTTATATAGTTATATTTTATACATCATGTAGAGTTCTGATTAATAATAGGTGAATTGTCTTTCAAGGCTGGTAAGTGGTGAGATCAATTATAATAAGATCAATGACTTGTATGGTAAGAGTGCAGTTAAGAGAATAAGATTTAGAATGCGATGCTATGTCATGAAATCATGAAGATTGAAAATCTACAGGTTGCTAAATTTACTTTTTGCACTGATGCTCAGCTTACAGGGATTTCATCAAAGTCAACAGAGATTTTGCTAGCATTTTTTTTTAGCAGCCAAAGCATGCCATTCCTCAAAGTCATTTCAAATGAGAACAAGCGGAATGATTGTTTGGGCAAGTTTATTATGAGATTGAGTAAAATCAAAGAAAGTGCTAAATCAGGGTCCCATTCTACAAAACTTGTCATCAGTGACAAATGACAGTTTTTGATATAAGCTAGTGAAATCCTTGCTTTTGATTGGTTATCAGCAGATATGTCAATGATTTTTGTCATTTGTCATTGAAAAGTGGCTGTGTGAAACGTTGCCCAGGAAGAGTAAATGATTTGTTGTTGATAATCTTGTTGAGGTATGCCTTAGAGAAATGGTTTTAAGAGTCAGCAGGCTTAATAAAAGTCCAGCAAGTACACTCTACATGGTGTTCCCATAATATACTGAAAATATGGTGACGGTGATAATGGCAGAGATACCGTACCCAACAAGCGTATGTGTTTTTCATGTTGCACAAGATTGTAAGACGGATGCCTCAAATTTTTCCACCGAAAAGCACATTCAGTAAGTTGCTTTTTAATACTTCCAAACTGCCTGCAACCATGTCATATCCTGTCCTGTCATATTAATATGCCTGTGCAGTAGTGATGTTATAGTACTCATAGCATTAACCCTTTGATTTTCATAGCTAACTGATCGATGAATGAACCCTGCGCTCGGACTACATATACCAACCTTCGTTGTATAGCTATACGATAGGTAATTAAATTTCTTGCTCATCTAAACATCGTATAAAGAAACGTATATTGAAACATCTGTTTGAGCATCGTTTCAAACAAAAACTCAAGAAAAAATCAGGGTCCAGGGGGGCGTTTCACAAAACTTGTCATCAGTGACAAATGACAGTTTTTGTTATAAGCTACTGAAATCCTTGCTTCTGATTGGTTATCAGCAGATTTGTCACAGATTTTTGTCATTTGTCATTGTAAAAAAGGCTTTGTGAAACGCCCCCCAGCTCTAGTCTGAACGTTGTATCATATGCAAATCGTATAACTGGGAGGGGCTTATCGTGAGTGGGCACTAATGATTGGCCAGCTTACATGTCAACTGACCTGGTCAAAATTAGGTTCTTTATACAATGTCTCTATCCTGTAGGCTCCTTTCGTTTTACAAGGATTCTTTATAAAACGTTTCTTTATATGTTGTTTCTTATACGAGTTTCATTTAAATTCCCTGCAGCCTAAACTGGCTGGGAGTCTGTTGCATTATGGCTATGTGGGAACTATAGGGTCAAAGTTCATTCATAGCAATAGCCAGACCCCCTTAAAGTTGTGTTCAACACAACTTTTGTCTACCTTTTAAAAGTGAAAGCTTTATATAGGGTTATAACATGACCAGTCCATTACATGATGTGTTAAGATTGTAGATGAGAAAACGAAGGCTAGCAGTTAATGTATGGGTCTCTTACTTTGTACATATTTATGTATGTTAATGAAGCTGCTGCACACTATATATATATATATAATCTATGGTACTACAAAAGGAACATTGTTTGTAAAGTAAATAAAAGAAATTGTACGAGAATTTATGAAAGCGGTGTTTTATTTACCCAGAATGGAAAATATTTAGCTGTATGCTTTAGTATACATTAAATTGTGAATACTTGATATATACTTTCTCGTTTTCTTCTTCTTGTTTTTTTCTTCTTTGGTTTGTTTAAGATATACTTTTGCACCTCTGCATTGTAAATGCCCGCTGCTGTTTGTTAGACAACACTGGAACTGTTCACTTGTCTTGATCTTTATAGGTGAACACGATGATTTTGTCCAACTTAAACCCTACCTATTTGAAGTACAGTACAGTATTTTGTACACAAGAGAGTCAATACAAGCAGGGCATTTTTTTGTCATACCCTGTAGTTTCTTCCAATGAAAACCACACACAATAACACTTGTCAGTATTATACAGGGTTTGGGGCCATCACTGATGTATACCATAGCAAATATTGGATTATGTTTTGTTTTGTTTTTATTAGTTTGTGGAAAAGGGGGTGATACAAAATTAATTGTTGGTATAGCAGTATTTTATTGAAAACAGGTTTATTACGATCTCTGTAGGATCTAATGACAAAAATAGAGGTTGATTTTGGCATTATTCATTGCATATGATGTGATTGTACTTTGTAACTCAACTATTGATGTGTGAATCATCAATAACCCAGATTTGTTCACATATTTTGAATTGAGGATAAAAAAAATGTAAAAGTATTTCCACTTTATATGAAAATTATAGATTGAATTGTCCAAATTTACGTAGATGCAGATTTAACATGTATACATGCGTTGCTTTACCACATCATTAGGGTAGGGATTTGGAGGAAGACGTTTCATGAAATGTCCAATCCTTTTAATAAAATAAATGTACATGTTTTTGAAGAACATTTTTAATGCAAGGGGTATTACATTTTGTGCAGTGTTCTTAAGAAACGATATTAAATGAGTGCAATTTCAGACTTTATCCCCCCACGCAAGTTTAGGAAATTGCTTCTTTTTTTCTCTTTTTTTTAAAAATCGAAGACAAGTATGTTTTCCACTCTTTCATAACAGCAGAAGTACTTATGTTCTACAAAATTCATTTGATGAATATTAAAATGAAATAGCAGATAAATTATATATATATCATAATATAGCTGTATATTAGTATAAATAGGTGTAAGCGATACATTTTGTTACAGTAATCTCTATGAAAGGAACAGAGTAATGATGGAAATCGTCTGTTCAGGGCCAGAAGGGCACTTAACTTATATCATTTGAAATAGAGTTAATGTCCGCCTGGCTCCAACGAATGAAATATTAAATCAAACAATAAATAAAGCCTATGATTGATAAGATTGAAATTGATATTGAAAATAAAGTATCAGTATGTCTGGCTTGTGGTGTTA